CTTTCAAAAATCAATAGACAAATGTCACATTTAAGGTTTCATGTGACATTTGGGGATACAAAGTTATCAGAAGAGAAATTGATGAAAATTACAGACAATGATAGCACTGCAGACCAATCACACCACAGAAAATGATGGTATGACAGCCAATCAGATAGTTAGGAAGGAGATAAGTATGACCTATACATGTGACCTTCAGAAAATAAGGACAATCCCAGTCAGCCCAGTGCTTCATAAACTTTATAAAAATGTAGACATGAGTGATACATGCCCCTACAGCTCTGTAACTGCCTTTGGAAATACCATCATATCCCATAATGCATAATAGTCTAACAACTAGCAAACAAAACAAGTTGAACACATCCCCACCCTTCTCCATGAAAACACATTGTTATAGTCACTGTGTACCATCCCGGGGAACAGCTGCCAATTCCTATCAGAGGGTACTAGGGGGCACATGGCCCTACTGACTCCCTTATCTAAAAGTCAGCTGTACTAAGCAGGAAGTTCACCACATTTTATTTATACAAATTATTAGGAAAACTTAAAGACAATACATCTATAATGTAAGTGCACCTGTCCTTTATTTTTTTCTCTTCTTATTGTGACCTCATCATTTATTAAAACAGGGGACTTTGTCAGAAAACAAGATGTAGTTGTGTCTGTAGGTAAAATACAGTACATATATTACATGCTTGTATATACAAATTTTCTTCAAACTCTTTAGAAAATCAAACTGATGATTCCCTAATAAATTAACTCAAATCTTTTTTTTCAGATCATACATTTTATAACTTCTGGATTTATTTCAGACACTCCTCAATAAAAAAGACAGAGGTATTGTTTTAACACAGTACCCTGGTCTTAAACAGCAGGACAAATAAGGCACTGAGTCATTATCTTGTGCTTTAATATGTTTTGACTATTTTTGATTTCTCACATGATAACAAACAAATGTTAGTGTCAATACATAAAACTCTGCATTAAAAGGTTATAAATAAATATGTATTTAAATTGGGATACTATAAATGTACTTAATTTGGCCAAATCAAATTTTAGTGCACTATTATCTTTTTTGGTAAAGTACAACAATAACTTTGTGCATCCACACTAGTTACTAAATAATCAGCATAAAGACTAGACTGTAATTTTCACAATCATATTTTAGTGCAATACTTTCAGCGTGATAAAGTTAAAATGAGATTACCACTGAAGTATGTACATATACAGTATATTATTAAACCTGTAAATATTTGGTGCTGGTAGATTAAATTGCTATGGTGATGACTATGTTCTGTACCTCAGGGATCAAAAGAGCAGCAGCAGGAGGCTAATGACAAAGGTTACAGTAGAGTGGACATGTGGAGGGGTAGGATAGTTCAAGGTCAAGATATGGTTAAGTGCACAACCATCATTTATGTCCGGGTTGACTGTTGGAGGCAAAATAAAGGATATGTGATGATGAATATACAAGTCTGGGTACACAAGTATCACATGGTTGATTATGAATATCCCTAAAATTGACCTGTAATTGTAGTCTGTGGCATCAGGTGATCTATCTGATGGAGGACACTGATAATTGTACACAACATCCCAGTTGGTTCGACCTTGACTTGTCTAGACAATTTTTTCACACAAAGAATTTGTTAATCAGACAGACACCTATGTTTACTTATAACAAATTCAACTGATCAGCATGATTTTTTTTCCACAGCCAAGGCAAATATAAAATCAGGGAAAAACAATCAAAAACCAAACATCAGTAATAGCTTGCCTTTTTTCAAAATCTTTACCAAAAGAAGTTGATATGTTTGTGGAAACCAAACAATCAGCTGGAATATCATATACAATGTATTTGAAAACTCCATAGCCTGTGACTTTTATGATATCAGGGTTATCTGGTATTGAGATATGTTTTTGCTGCACCTAAAGTTATTGTTTTTTTTAATGGTATTAAAAATGAATTTATTTCCATGCATTTTAATTATAAGCCTGTACCTGACTCTGAGTCACAGGTTTCTTTGGTTAACTTCTACATTACGTAAATGACAACTATGAATATGGCGTCAGAATACGGTATTCTATTCCAATATTATCAAAGGGAATACAAATGTGCTGCTGATCCTTCCAAAGATCAGTACATTCAATAACCTGAGGGAGAAGGGTCACCCTGCGCTGTTTTCCAGTGGGACATGGCCTCCTGATTTGGTCTGTGTTTAACACATTCAAATGCATTGTAGATGTAGATAAATGCTGCCTGTATGTATCAGCCGAATGTCTCTCATTCTGCTTTTATTGTGTTATCTGGAAACATGTCTGCTATCTGTACATGAAGATTAGCCTACATTCACTTGTCAATAGAGTACAAAACATACATTTATTTCCTTCTCACAGCTAGTACAAATTACCTAGCACATGCCTGTCTTTACAGAAATAGTTGACATTGTTTTCTCAGGTATAAGGCCCATTACACGGTACCATCAGCATGATCCCAGTATGTACAGTATTATCTACATGACATTCATGGACAATCTTCTATGAAAATGATACCATGTAACTTTTATAAGTTATGGAAGGATCATCAAAAACTATCTATTTTCATTTAAAACCAAGGCTTATCAACTTAATTCAATGTTGAAAAAGATTATTTCATAAGGGAGGAAATTAAACACTGAGATAATTTAAGTACACTTACTTCAGATAGAAATATATACAGTTGTACTTGTGTATAAATAAACCATAAGGTAAAAAAGACATCTCAACGTTTAATACTTATTTTGTTAATTATAAGCACAAGTTCAAAGGTCATAAGGAACTTGTCACTCTCTGTCAGGTATAGATCAGGTGAGTTGTAGATGTAATGGGCCTATTGTTATACACCACATGCAATACACCCAAATTCTGTACTCATGAAATGTGTTTGGCATGTATTTTCAATTTCCCTTCATAAAATTGTTATTTTTGTGGATTGTAATTGTGGAAAGTAATTGTGAACATGTACATTTTCATGAAATCATCTGTTATAATTAGCCAAACATTGCAGACTACCTAAAAGAGCAATGTAATTTTAAACTGTTACTCATCATGGTAACAAAGTTTCCAATTCACCTACATAAGAAAATTACAAGGAAATGATATGATGAGTTTTAAAGTCCAGGCTGTTTGTCAATGAAGTCAAATTCGTGATATCATAAGTATGTGTACATACATCATTTGTTAAGTTTTATTTCAAACATATCTGTTTCACATTTCTATAAATATTTCTTCCCAGTATAAAGCATCAGGAAGTTTTCACAGGGACTGCTTAAGGATTAATGGGGGCACTGGTCACGCTTCAAAGGATACATTTAAAATTCATACTACAATCTCAGTAATGTGTAGAACTTTTCTTCCATCAGAACAGACATTTAAAACCAAATTTGGAGACAGCTAATTACTTTACACTTATAACTTTTTCTTCATTTGGATATGAGCACCTCATCCATTATGTTTCTGTTCTGTCTTTCCATTTGCTTTAAAATGAAAAGATCTACGAATGATCAGCAAGTGCCGAAGAAAGTTTAATGAGACAACTCTGTCCCTCCTCTACCTCTCACTCCTCCTAAACAGGAACAATCCCCCTATGCAGGAACATATACTATTTAGGTTTTAAGGGCCTTTACCCTGCCAATACATCACATTTGAAGCGGGGAATAACTAGGAATTGAACTTCCTTTATTAGTGTGTTCATATGGCTATGGTCACTGTCACATATTATTTGGTCTTGAATTTTCTTGATAGATTACCTGGGGATTTGATAGTCAACAAAACAAATCTGATTTGACTACCACTGAAACATCATTCTTACACAATTTGTAGTTGGAAACTTTGAATATAAGCAGTAGACATGTACCTGGTTCAAGCAAATTATATATAAAGCAATAAATGGCTGGTACCTGCCTCGTCTGTCAATACAGAGTAATTTCTGTATCTTTTGTTACTAGATTTTGAACTGATTAGTCACTAACCCAAGATTTGCCAAAGTATCAATTTGGAGAGGACAAAAAATAGTATAGAAATATGTCAACTACTGCAAAGCAATGTGCTTTATGTAGAAATAAAAATATATCTGCTTATCAATAGACAATCAATGACGTCCTAGATCTAGAGTGACTCAGATTTATTTACTGCCAACGGGTGACTTTCTGCGAAACTATCTCTCTCTCTGGTAACAACACAAGAATGTGTATCGACCATTGTCCTATTGCGACAGTGTGTGTTCTGCTAATCACTTAATAGCAGACGAATTAAAAGCACGAGTGGACACCTTGGGGTCACGCGGGGTCATATATAACAATTATGTCAATAAAGTCGCGGTTCACTGAACAAAAACGGAAGCAATGGCTAGTGATTTGTAACCGGTGTTGACAAAGTGTTCCATATCCCTTTCCGCAACGGAACTAACCTAAACAGCCGACGAGTAAAATTCAGGGGCCACCGAAAAAGGAAAGTGACGTGAGTACTGTCTCGTGCCACCGAATACAAATGACATAACTATCGCATGTGTATCATAGACATCAGACGATGCTTATGGATTACATTCTATTGTTTTACTTACCTCTCGAATGATTATCGAATTCCAACGCCAGTTCTTTCTCCTTTTTGGCTTTCCTTTCGGTTGCCATATCTATATTCGGGTAGATCCGTAGCTGTCAGTTATGCACATAAAACATATCCTCACCGATCATCACTTGTCGAGCTACCCGAAAAAGGTCAAGTGCAGCATTGTGGGTAACCTGGAAATCTCGTGATGCAATCCGGGATAACACGAGAGCGCACTTGCTTAGAAACAACATTTGCTATTAACCAATAAAAATCTAGCTAACAAATTTGACAGTAGTCGCAAAGCCAATGAGAACCCAGTTTTCATATGTAAACATCCGCCACATGTCGTGTTGAGACGCCGGTAAGACGTAGCAGCTATCACAAAAGACGCCGTGGTTTACAAGAAAAAGGAGGTGAACTAAAGAACAAGTTACCATAATACATTAGAAAGAAATTTGTTTAGGAAAGAGAAACTTAATACAGGCCAAACGATAACATTATGAGTAGCAACGCACAGAAAGTTGACAATGTTGCCCCATCTTTCAGGCGTAAACAAGTTTTCATTCTTGATTGTGCGTACTGTGATTCTACTGTTTGTAGACGAGCGATGAAAGCAGTGCTTTTGGCAGATTCTCAGACTGAACTTTTTTCAACTGATATTCAAGAAGAAGGGTAAGTAACAACCGCATATTATCAGCAGACATAATTGGTAACACTCGCAAGCACTGCTTTATGATTCTTAATGCGATGTATAGGCTACTAACCGAGCAGACGACCTTGGTAAACTTACCAAACGTGTCATATATAAGGACTACAGGGATTTATCGAAATTGGTTTGATAAAAATTATGTTGTACAATGTTGCCTAATGGTATTTTGTTTCAGGGCCGTGGAGTTGACAGATGAGAAGTTCTACACCGACAACTGTGACTGTCTGATAGAACATATGGCCTGCACCGTATGGTATGTAGAATTGTACTTTACTTTTCCAGTTAAGGACCTACAATACTTTTTTCTACATATATTATGCCTGAATCGGAAATTCTAAAAATACATCACAGTCCATATTTTGGAAATCTAATATAGGCCTATTGATATAATAAGTTAAATTACAGGATTTCAGGTTTTTACCCTTTTTTCTAGCTCTCATTCACTTCTACAGCTGCACATAATCATTCCTTGTAAAGTACGTTGACAATGCAAACAACATCCATATTCATAGAGAAAAATGCATCATATATATATTTAGAACAATTGTCAAGAGCTAACCTATCTATATCGAGCGACCATATATGGATCAATAAGCAGGACCTGACAATTGCATTTCTGTGTATTGTTGACACATGCCTGCACCCACACAGCTGACATAGAGTTAGTAGCATAATGGGTCAAGAACAATCAATTTGTTCAAGTGAATAGCCTTGACTGAATTTCATGGCACCCAGTTGTCAAAAATCATCGAGGCATCAAGTTTTGTGTTTAGCCTGGAAAGTATACATATTCTGACATGAAAATGTACCTGCAGAATTTTGAGTAAAGTCATTTAGTTTGACATTGACACAGTTCAATATCACAGGAACGTACTGAAATCTCTAAATCACTTTCAGAACATGATTTTTTTTGCCAGTAGATAGCTTGGATGAAGCAAGTGCTATCAAGTTTAAGCTCAAATGTCAGAAGTATAAAAATCTTCAATCAACTGCTTCAGAATAACCAAGAGACACTAGGTCAATAGTTGGGCAGTTATAAATAAACCATAGGTATTGGATATTGATTTGTATTATAGGTGAACAGACAAGTATCAAACTCCCTGTATGGTCAGAGATGAAATTTTTATCTCGGCTGATATTTCCAAAACTGCAGGGTTTTCCATAATTTTGTTAGTAGTAGGCTGTGTAGTGAAAGTAGGAGGCTGGCCTGCCGTGTACGTGTAGTCGTGTACGGAACTTTATTATGGAACTGGATTGGTGTAGGCAGCCAAAATGATAAAAAAAAAAGCCGGTCAAATTGGCCGGCGACCGGCTCTTATGGAAAACCCTGAAAACAGCTTCTGATTCAACATACCATACAGATTCAACAATTAAATTGCCAATAATATCTCTCGATATATGATATTATTTCATCATCTGTTTAATTCCTTTCACTTCCTATGTATTTTTTCACTAGTGTGTCGGGTCCCAATACATGAATAATGTTGATCCATTTACAAAGTAACTGGTCACAGATGTCGGTAGTTTTTAAATCTTCAAAACACTTTTGATTTTAATACCAAAAGGCCCAAGGTCATGTTTGATAATTGATCAGTTACATGGTGGAAAGAAATGAACTACAATGACCTTTATTGAAGAGTATACTGGTACAGGTCGAGCAAGGTTTAGTTGTGATGTCTTGCTGTTGGTATACTGGAAAGAAAAGATAATAAATTTGGTTGCATCAAGTTTTTTCAACAAATTAGATAAAAATGATAAAACCCATCAGGATACATTGAAAAAACAACGTATTAACAAGCATTTACATATAAACTTTTATTCTTATCGACACAGGGGTAAAAGTTATCATTATCTGTAATTTGTGAGATTCACTTTTTAGTTGTTAGAATAATGAAAATACTAAGGTTTTTGTCATTATGGTAGTTATGACACATCATTCCAATACTATTGTTTTGTCTTGAGTGAAACCAATGTTGTATACTTATGCTTTTCCCCCTCAATCAAGCAGTTCAATATCAAATACATGTACCATGTTTGTCTGATTCAGCGGTAATGTGGTTGGGTACCATGTTCGAATGCCCTGTATCAAGTGTATCAAGTCCTGCAACAATGGCCATATGTGGATGTTCTATAGACAGGCTATCCTACCAATGGATAGACTTAACCCACAAGGTCTGTATCTGCAAACAAATCTCATTCTTTGTTGTAACTAATTACATTTGCCCATGAATATTCCCTATATTAATGCATACAACATTATAATAGATGTATGTTTATGATAAAACATATAGTATAATGATAAGCATAACTGAAATAATATTTCATAGACTACTTAAATATGGACACGTGTACAGTGTATGTTTTTCTTGTCATAAAATGCTTTTCTCACGATCCACACTAAAATTACACATAAAATACTGGTATATGTGTGCATTACGGGAATAACATACAAAAGATGAGAATGCTCAAAATGCTATGTGTTTTGAACACCAGATCTTTTAAACCTTCAAATTTAAAGATTTAATCACTGTTGTTTGAACTGTAAGTTTTGTTTTACTTATACAGGGGAGAAGGTGATGCTTTGGGGGGACATTCCAGCTGATCGCCATGACCATGCCGCTGGCATGTTGGAGGACGAGTGTTGTCGCTAGAGAAGTCCTGGACAAATCTTTTCAGCGACAGCATATAGGATGAGAGCTGTCACTAAGTAAACTCAGGACAAGTATCATCACTTCATCACTTGAATTGATAACCAAAGCATCATCACATGGTAACAAAAGTGCAATTGCTTTCCCTAGAGATCCTCACAGTGAGTTGTCAATAAGGGACCTAAGATCACAGTTGTCGCAGAAGCAATACTGCAAGCCAGGTGATGAGTTTCAGTCTGGAGATTGGTTCTCCGTTACAGCTGGAACAGCATGAGGACAAAACCCAGTTCTACAGACAGCAATTTGTCTCGGTTTCTTTCTTGCAGAAGCAGGGACGCTGGTACCAGTTTCAAACTGGAACAAAAGTGCTATGCACAATAAGATTTGTTTTCTTTGGTCTTTGACTCTGTACTTCTACCAAGATAAAAACTTTGTTAGAAAGTAACATTGTTTTTTAAGGACGAAAACAAAACCTAGATATCTATGATTATTACTCCCAACTTGGGAGCTGGACAAATGGCATTTGTTTTTCATGTGTTAGTTTTGCAATTTACAATGTTATTTGTCCTATTTATTATAACGAAGGTATTTCTGACTGCATAAACATTTGAAAATTCTGGGTCAAGACTTTTCAAGCTAACATTTATATTCTAGTAATCCTCTTCATGAGGACCAGATAATTTTGTCCAGTTTTAGGCATTACACATAAATGTAAAGCCAATGAAAGAACTGTTGCTTACAGGAACCCTCATTATCCTGTAGATATTGACATTTTAAAGTTTTGAAGATTATCCTGGACCCATTCCATGCAATAGCTTGTGGTCAGTGTAGAGAAACAATACATTTTATACTGCTGTGTTACACTTATGTGTAGTATATAAATCATTTATTGGGTAAAGTATGATTTATTCAACTCAATGTGAACTGTGTTTACAATATCTACATTTCTAGTATAAATGTAATATGTGTTATACAAAGTGTGCGCATTGTATATTAAACCTTTTTATCTAGGATTTAAAGGGAGATTTTCTTTGCAAAAACATGCTATTAATTTAATGAGACACTAAAAATGTGGAAATAGTTCCTTGTGCCTCAAACAAATCTTTTTTTATGTCAAATCATCAGGAGTTATACATGTATTATAAGTAAAAAAAAATATAGGAACTTTGATAGAACCATCAATGTTACCAATTTACCTTAATAATCATTTGTCTATATTATATCAAAGTTATGTCAGTATGTTATATTGTTAGTCTTCATTATAACACCACCATGAATGTTATAATACTGGTGTGCAAAAATCACTACATAGGTGTGTAAGTACAAGCATACTATGCAGGCATATCTTCCCTATCCTTGTTTGTAGTCCTGAAATTTCTACTAATATCTTGTATATTTCATATTGAGTGTGTTTATCACATTTTATTAGGAATTGTAGTCCCTATCCGTTGTCAGTTTTGTAGTATAGGCAGAATTTTGTCATGTCCACCGACATTTTGTTTTGTGATATGTTTGTTGCTATAACAATTTTTAGTCTGTTTTGTATCCCTGTAAACAGAGAGCTTATGCTGTGATTACTGTATAACATTATTGTACTAATGTTTGTTTACAAACACAACCAAGAGTTGATGTAAAGGTTATGGAACTAGTTCCAATATATTGTTTATTGAAAATAAATTATTGATACATAAAAATGTGTTTTCTTTTCTGTTCAATGTTAAATATCTAGATAATACAAGCAGTGGTTCACCAATTGAATATTATATTCATAAGTCACGAGTCTATAGGCAGATAAATATATCACACTGGCATGTGTTGATTTTCCAAAACTTTCTGATGCTTCAACCAAGATATCTCTCCAATCAATAACTATACAATAAAACACTATAGTTCAAAGAACAGCATGTCCTTTGTTACATTAGATAATAATGCAAACATTTACAACAACCTTGTAAAAGAAAGGAATGCATTGTACAGTAGATGTCAATGTACAAAATACACTACAGCTAGAATGTCATTGTACAGTAGTTGTCAATGGTTGCAAACACTGTGCAATAGTTGTCAATACATGGAACACATTGCTCAGTGGTTATTGTACAGAATATATTGTTCAGTACGTAGTTGTCAATGTACAAAATACACTATAGTAGTTGTCAATGGATGCAATACATTGTAATCAATTACCAATGATGGAATACATTGTAATAAGTTGTCACTGGTTGGAATACATCGTAATCAGTTGTCAATGGACGGAATATATTGTAATCAGTTGTCAATGGACGGAATATATTGTAATCAGTTGTCAATGGACTGAATACATCGTAATCAGTTGTCAATGGACTGAATACATCGTAATCAGTTGTCAATGGACGGAATATATTGTAATCAGCTGTCAATGGACGGAATATATTGTAATCAGTTGTCAATGGACGGAATATATTGTAATCAGTTGTCAATGGACTGAATACATCGTAATCAGTTGTCAATGGACGGAATATATTGTAATCAGCTGTCAATGGACGGAAAACATTGTAATCAGCTGTCAATGGACGGAAAACATTGTAATCAGCTGTCAATGGACGGAAAACATTGTAATCAGTTGTCAATGGACGGAAAACATTGTAATCAGCTGTCAATGGACGGAAAACATTGTAATCAGCTGTCAATGGACCGAATATATTGTAATCAGCTGTCAATGGAATATATTGTAATCTGTCGTCAATGGATAGATTGTAATCAGCTGTCAATGGATGGAATACATTGAAGTACATTGAATAATTAATGAATGTCTTCATTCAACTATGTGTTACGATTTTAAGAAATAAAAGAAAACTTCCATAGTAGATAGCTGGAAAGATAGTTTTATGTGAAAATTAATAAAAATCAGAAGAAAACCTCCTACAAGTGCTGTAATAACATTCTTATATAAATACTAATTAATCTAAGTTTTTACACACAGAAACATATAACACACATAGCAAAATATAAGATCAGTAGTAGAATAGTGTTCAGATACAAAGATGTCAAATATTCTCTTTATACATTAATATTTTTCTATCACAGATATCAATAAAGTTAATCACATAACAAGTCCATACTTTAAACATTTTTCTATCACAGTTTTGTTTTTAGCATTCACAAGTCAGTCCTGCAAGCTTGATGACCCTGAGCAAGCATCAGTCAGTCATCATCAGGTCACTCAATTAGGATTTGATGACCTTGAGAAGCCATTGGACAATATCAGTGCCCTGGGCTGTGTAGCCAAAGCTGGGGTCAAAAAGACTCTCTAATGCAGCAATGTTCTTCTTTGTCACCTCAAATGGCAGCTGAAGATAAAATACATCATTACAGTGACTAGAGTTGGTACCCAATCAGGCTTCAATTCTAACTTATTGCTAATTGTATTCCATCAATATTGTATAATTTTCAAAAAGAGGATTTTGTATGACAGTACAATTGCAGAGAATATTTTTTCATATAACTGCATCACAATTTCTGCATCCAAAAGCAGACTAAGTTTCAGGCTAAATTGTACAAAAGTAACAAAATGGCTGTAGTAATTGAAGAGAAGTCAAAATTTAGTTTGTATTTGGTGTCTTGTATAAACCGAGGTAAGAATAAAGACGCTGATATACTGAAATAACAACACATTTTGTAAAATGAAAATGAAATCAAATAAACCTCCAATAAAGCTGAAATGCATTTATATTTGCAAGCATAAATCTGAATTGTAAATATGAATCATGTCTTTAAAATCACAGATGGATACAATACTTCATAGTTAAACTCTAGGATGCATTGCTTTGCATTGTGGGATATGTTTGAATGACACTGTGTAGTACAACATCATAAGTGTTTATAAAGGTGCATTTCAAGTCTCCAACAATAACACCTGATTACACCTACCTCTGTGGCAACAATGGATCCAGTCTCTGATTTCTCCACTTTCTCTGCTTTCTCTTTCTCTGCTTTTTCTGATTTCTCCTTCTCTGCCTTCTCTGACAACTCTCCTGTGGAGTTAGCGTGTGGCAAACCTAGCAGAGTCTTCACATCATCCACACACTGCTTCAGCAGGTTCTGACAACACAAACAAGTTCACTATATTGTCAGTACAAATATTGTCAACACAAAAACCCAGGTTTAGCCCATACCATAGTAAACACTAAAGGCATTCAAGGTATTGTTGAAAGCCTGTTTAACATTAACTGGGAACTCGTCTAGGATATAACTACTGTAAATCACTTCCACAAATAATTTATTTCATGAACTTATCTCTTCAGACATATTTGCAAATACATGATTTCACAATCAGTGACCTAGAAATGACTTTAAATTCACGAATGATGGGCTATTAGATAAATGGACTCTGATATTGATAACCAATCAGCATGGATGTCATCAAGAATTATTTTTGTACAAATAATCACGAAGGATTTGAATTTGGGATTGGTTCTTGTAGCTTATTGATGTGAAAATAACTTCCACACGAAATATAAGTCATTTACAGTACCTTAGAATATTCTTAACCCAACAAATGAGACAGAATGTGATCAAAGGACAATTTGAAATGAAAAAAAAATCTTTATATTAGTCGAACAATCATGAACTTTGCATGATCTGTGTTGTACTAGCAATAATCATTATGATGATGTAATGATCAAGTCAATATCTGGAATTGAAAAATCGATTTTAGTACCCAATATATACACTCTGTTCCCATACTCCAGTAGTACAAGTAAGTCCTTTAAACAAAACATTAAAAAGATACAAAATTATCATCTCTTTCTCCTGCATTAGAGACATCAACGATCAACAAAAAATTAGAAAACAATGATACAGCATTACATAATTGATATAAACATTTAAACAGTATGGTACATTACATCCATCTAGCCTTCTATCATTCTGTGTCACCCAGCTTTGTATTAACTTCCATCATCCACCACCAAATTACATCTTAACAAACAGTTACACATCGTTTATCGAACTTTGTACCAGCATTTCCACAGCCCATGTATGACACACACTGCCTGTTTGGCCCAACACCACCAAACTTACCTCGTTGTCAAGGAGTTCCTCGGGATCTATGAAATCCTTAGAGAACAAAAACCTATTGTATAACTATCTGATGTCTCCATATTAATGTCTTACAAACACATAAACCCATACTAAATTTTGATATATTCTTATTTTCCCCAAAACAGAAGAAACACACATTACCCTCAGTATATATCAAACACCCATCTGACTTAAATTACTCCCATATAGAAGCACCTGTATCAGTGAGCCTATAGGACTTGTTACACTTACATTATGTTACACTTTGTTACATTATGTTACACTTTGTTACATTATGTTACACTTTGTTACATCTATGATTAAATGAAGTTCAACTCAACAAACCTCAAGAAGATGCCCTGTAAAGTGATTTTTTGTGTTCAGATTTTTTCCTTTTTATCACTTTGAAAACATCATCAATCATATCATTCTCTTTTGCAAACAAATAGTGAAGTGTTGATAAAAAGATGAAGTATCTACATCTGATGTGACATGCTGTACACAGAGGCTGCCCAAGAAATGTATGTGTAGATTTTTTATAATAAAAGGCCTGCACAGGGATTTGTAACAAATTAACATGTATTTCGTTACCTGAGATCAGGGTAGGGAAGGAAACTTATCCAAAAAGAGTGAGAGAAGAAATGAACAGGATGGAGGAAGTAGCAACCTTACATTGACACAAAATACAACAAGCTGACCACATCTAACGGAAGACACTACAAAACTATCACAGCTACAACAAATGGATCTCAGAAATGTTTTGTCACAGGACGCATACCCTTGCTTTGTCTCCAACAAATTAAAATACCAGCCCCAGAAGCCAAATAGTGAAAGCACTACTAATTGTGACTTGCCCAAACGACTACTCTTACCTCGATGGGAGGGAAATCCTTTGAAAAAAATCAGCATGCAGTGTTACAAATTTTGAAATAAGGCAAACAAAATGATGTAAAATTAAATGTGCATTAAATGAAGGTTAAAATTTGTACATTTACTAAAAATTCTATGATTCCTACTCTAATCTACCACTACACAGAGATCTAAGGAGGACAGCAAAATCTGAAGCAATGTGTCCAGGGAAATCAAACACTGGAATCTCTAAAGCTATTCTGTAGACACTGAGCTGATCATATACATCTAAACAGGTCACTGAAACTATTATAGTCAATAGGATAATGGAATGTAAATTATCTTTTTCTTTAACAGCATGGTTTTGATGATCTTGCTTCGAAAGAACCACAATGCTTTCGGTGATCTTGCCTTGAGAGAACTATAGATTACTATATCTATCAAGTAATAAGCCCATGTCTGGTAATAAGCCCACCCACATCAATAGAGGATCACTACCAACCATTTGCCCTGAATTTTATGAGAGATAATGTATCGGCCCCTTGGCTTATTGCAGGATACATGCAGTAAATCAATAATATCTCTTTGTTGTTTTCACTGACAAAGACCCAGGAATAAGAGAATGCTACATAGAGCTGGTTCACATGTTCTGTGTGTGCCTACCTCCAGTCGCTCATCCCGTTCAACCTTTGGTGAAAGGGCCTTGATCCTCTGACCTTTCTTGGGTTTAGAAGTGGGAGTCGGGGAGGGGGCTACTGGGTCTTTCTTCTTCTTCTCTACCAGGGATATCTCTGCCCTCTGTGCCAGTACAGCCAATCTGAAGGGGAATAACAGAAGTACAGCTTTGTTGTGAAAATTATTGGGTTGCGATAGATTTATGTGTTGTGAAGTTGTTGAGTTGTGAAAGTTGTTGAGTTGTGATAGATTTATGTGTTGTGAAGTAGTTGAGTTGTGAAGGTTGTTGAGTTGTGATAGATTTACTTGTTGTGAAGGTTGTTGTGTTGTGTTAGATTTATGTGTTGTGAAGGTTGTTGAGTTGTGATAGATTTATGTGCTGTGAAGTTGTTGAGTTGTGAAGGTTGTTGAGTTGTGATAGATTTACTTGTTGTGAAGTTGTTGTGTTGTGATAGATTTATGTGTTGTGATAGATATATGTGTTGTGAAGTTATTGTGTTGTGATAGATTTGTGTGTTGTGAAGTTGTTGAGTTGTGAAGGTTGTTGAGTTGTGATAGATTTACTTGTTGTGAAGTTGTTGTGTTGTGATAGATTTATGTGTTGTGATAGATATATGTGTTGTGAAGTTATTGTGTTGTGATAGATTTGTGTGTTGTGAAGTTGTTGAGTTATGAAGGTTGTTGAGTTGTGATAGATTTACTTGTTGTGAAGGTTGTTGTGTTGTGTTAGATATGTGTTGTGAAGGTTGTTGTGTTGTGTTAGATTTATGTGTTGTGAAGGTTGTTGAGTTGTGATAGATTTGTGTGTTGTGAAGGTCGTTGAGTTGTGATAGATTTATGTGTTGTGAAGGTTGTTGAGTTGTGATAGATTTGTGTGTTGTGAAGTTGTTGAGTTGTGATAGATTTATGTGTTGTGAAGGTTGTTGAGTTGTGATAGATTTATGTGTTGTAAATGTTGTTGACAGTTGTGATAGATTTACTTGTTGTGATAGATTTATGTGTTGTGAAGGTCGTTGAGTTGTGATAGATTAGTGTGTTGTGAAGGTTGTTGTGTTGTGATAGATTTATGTGTTGTGAAGGTTGTTGAGTTGTGATAGATTTGTGTGTTGTGAAGGTTGTTGAGTTGTGATAGATTTATGTGTTGCGAAGGTTGTTGAGTTGTGACAGATTTATGTGTTGTGATAGACTTATGTGTTGTGAAGGTTGTTGAGTTGTGATAGATTTATGTGTTGTGATAGATTTATGTGTTGTGAAGGTTGTTGAGTTGTGATAGATTTATGTGTTGTGAAGGTTGTTGAGTTGTGATAGATTTACTTGTTGTGAAGGTTGTTGAGTTGTGATAGATTTATGTGTTGTGAAGGTTGTTGAGTTGTGATAGATTTATGTGTTGTGATAGATTTATGTGTTGTGAAGTTGTTGAGTTGTGATAGATTTATGTGTTGTGATAGATTTATGTGTTGTGATAGATTTATGTGTTGTGAAGGTTGTTGAGTTGTGATAGATTTACTTGTTGTGAAGGTTGTTGAGTTGTGATAGATTTATGTGTTGTGAAGTTGTTGAGTTGTGATAGATTTATGTGTTGTGAAGGTTGTTGAGTTGTGATTGATTTATGTGTTGTGAAGGTTGTTGAGTTGTGATTGATTTGTGTGTTGTGAAGGTTGTTGAGTTGTGATTGATTTATGTGTTGTGAAGTTGTTGTGTTGTGATAGATTTATGTGTTGTGAAGGTTGTTGTGTTGTGATAGATTTATGTGTTGTGAAGTTGTTGAGTTGTGATAGATTGACTTGTTGTGAAAGTTGTTGAGTTGTGATAGATTTATGTGTTGTATGTGTTGTGAAGTTGTTGAGTTGTGATAGATTTGTGTGTTGTGAAGTTGTTGAGTTATGATTTATGTGTTGTTGAGTTGTGATTGATTTATGTGTTGTGAAGTTGTTGTGTTGTGATAGATTTATGTGTTGTGAAGGTTGTTGTGTTGTGATAGATTTATGTGTTGTGAAGTTGTTGAGTTGTGATAGATTTATGTATTGTGAAAGTTGTTAAGTTGTGATAGATTTATGTGTTGTGAAGGTTGTTGAGTTGTGATAGATTTGTGTGTTGTGAAGTTGTTGAGTTGCGATAGATTTATGTGTTGTGGAGGTTGTTAAGTTGTGATAGATTTATGTGTTGTGAAAGTTGAGTTGTGACAGATTTATGTGTTGTGAGGTTGTTGAGTTGTGATAGATTTACTTGTTGTGAAGGTTGTTGAGTTGTGATAGATTTGTGTGTTGTGAAGGTTGTTGAGTTGTGATAGATTTATGTGTTGTGAAGGTTGTTGAGTTGTGACAGATTTATGTGTTGTGATAGATTTATGTGTTGTGAAGTTGTTAAGTTGTGATAGATTTATGTGTTGTGAAGGTTGTTGAGTTGTGATAGATTTGTATTGTGAAGGTCGTTGAGTTGTGACAGATTTATGTGTTGTGAAGTTGTTAAGTTGTGATAGATTTATGTGTTGTGAAGGTTGCTGAGTTGTGACAGATTTATGTGTTGTGAAGTTGTTAAGTTGTGATAGATTTATGTGTTGTGAAGGTTGTTGAGTTGTGATAGATTTGTATTGTGAAGGTCGTTGAGTTGTGACAGATTTATGTGTTGTGAAGGTTGTTGAGTTGTGATAGATTTATGTGTTGTAAATGTTGTTGTGTTGTGATAGATTTATGTGTTGTGAAGGTTGTTGTGTTGTGTTAGATATATGTGTTGTGAAAATGTGTTGTGAAGGTTGTTGTGTTGTGTTAGATATATGTGTTGTGAAGGTTGTTGTGTTGTGAAGGTTGTTGTGTTGTGTTAGATATATGTGTTGTGAAGGTTGTTGTGTTGTGATAGATTTATTTATGTGAAGGTTGTTGTGTTGTGATATCAACAAAATTGATGATCTACGGGTATTTACCTGTCATGAAGATCGTTAAGCTGTGAAAGAGACACCCACTGAACACCTGGCTGACAAACAGAGCCCAATTTCTTATAGATGGCATGCATAAGAAGTATGCGAGATTCAGCCCCTGTTGCTTCTGGTCTCTGAGGGTCATTCTCCTCCAGGGATGGCTGGTAGAACTGCAGTGCAACCTCCATGTCTACAGGGGAGGTAACTGGCTTTTCTGATGGCATGTAAGGGTTCACCACAGTCCCAGGAGGTAATGGTGCCTTTCCAGGCTCTGCCACAATGGCCATAACAATAGAATCATCTGATTCAACAGTGAGATTGGAAGTGTATGACATGGAGGTCACGTTGAGGCCGTAATCTGTGTCAGTAGGGGGCAGCACTAGTTGTGCAGGGGGATAGATACCACAACATTCCGAACTGTATACCCTGAGGTTGTTTGCTAGGTACACATGGATTTTAGTGAGTCGACGTGACCACATTCCTGAGAACAACATCGACCGGATCATGTCATGGTTGACTGTTGTGTCTGAGTGGGCATGACTGATGAACCCAAGGTCAAACTCAGGAAGCTCCTCCTCATCTGGATCTTTGTCCTCATGGGTAGATTTGCGACTTGAAGCAGAAATTGTGGATGTGTTGCACAGTCTCTGAAGGATACTCTGGTAACCTGTAAATCAGAAAATGTTGTGTCAGACTTAATACACAATCTAGGAAACTGTAAATCTTAAGATGTCAGCTATAAGCCTGGCCAAATCAAATTTGGATCTGACAGTCTGATATATCTAGATTAAATCTGGACAAAAGTCATAAACTTCAATCCTTTTTATCAATCCTACATTCAGTGCATATCAGATGAGTAGATAAAAATAATTTCACAAAAAAATATAAAGGTTACAAAATTCTCAACAGGTGATGTGATATAGGGAAAATTCTTCTAGCTGTGAGTACACCTTTAGTGCTTACCTAGGAAATGTATCCAGCTGAGGTCTTTAGCTCCCTCTCGTGCCTTTGCCACTTGCTCGTCATATGTGTCCACATGCTTTACTTCATTAGCCTCCAACAAGGGAGCTAACTCTTCTTCAATTTGGTCTAAAAGTCCATTAAAATAATTTAGGAAATGGAAACAAGACTTAAACAAAGACAATATCATAGAATACAAACACTGATGAATCTTCACTGTCAGCTGATAGGCTGTTAGATATACTGTAGTTACAGCATCAGATCTCATCTCAGCAGATTAATTATTCTTCAAATTTTCTTTTTACTGCTATCGTTTCTATTAAATATTTTTACTTCCTTACTTTAGTTTCTGTCAAATTACCAAATAAGCCAATTTCCTAATTCTGTTGTTTATATCGAAAATATTTTTGTTATATCATACAAGGGTAAATATCATAAAGTACTTAAGTAAAATAGTAATATTATGAGAAGAAGAAAGGGATTCTGTGTTATGTTTGCCTTGTCTGTTGTGAAGATTCAACACCATCACTTACTTTTATACACCTTCTTCCTTTCACCGAGGACATAGTCACTAACAAGGTCCAGTGCTATGAATTCTGGGACCTCAGTCACAGCACTGCTAGAGAGAGGCTGGGATGTGACTGAGTTGTCCCCAATGAGGAGGATGCGAGCGCGTTGGGCTTGACCTAGAGCTGCTGCACACCTAATAGCCGTCCAGGCGGCTAGTCTTTCCCTGTCCACATCTGCCATTTCGTCAGACTTACTGCCTTGAGATTTGAGTGAGCTCTGGGTACCTGACCGCTCTTTCTTAGACTGCAAAATCAAAAAGTCAGTGAGAAAGTGTTATCAATTTTACAGGTACTCAAACCTCTTAATTCAAAGCTGGATCTAGGACCTTTAAATATACAAGGAAAAATTTAAATGTGATGAACATGTATGAATCTTACTTACAGCAAAACTTTCAAATATGAAATAGACTCAGCTTGAAATTTCAATTTCTGTAACAGTTTAAACTGCCTTCAATTTAGAATAAATAACTAAATTCTAAAACACAAGATCAACACATTTTTTGTTATCCCTTGATAGTCAAATACTGACAGATTGCATGCCACACTATACCGTGATAAAAGCATTAAAGCATACAATAATTAGATTATACAATTGATAGTAACACACAGTGAAACAGTGAATTAATTACTCCATAGTAACACACAAAAAAATCAGGTCATTCAACCGTAACACACTGTACATCAAACATATTGTTCAGGTACATAGCCACAATACCATGAATAGCATATAAACAATGATGATTTGTTTGAACAACATTGAAAAATCATGTTATGAAGATATAACAGAGGACATTCCCTGGAGTATTGAATATACATATACAATTTGTTTGCTGGCCAAATATCATCAGATGTCAGTTACAAATGAAAGTAATTAAAAACTCTTTGAAAAACAGATTTATACAGATAAAGAAAATGATATATTGTATATGAAAAAAGCTTCAGGAAAAAGGTCAATTGATAATAACATATACATGGTGGTGTTTATTTTAACTAACCAGGGAACGTCCTATAAACATGGATATACTTTGAGATGGACAGTGAAATAATAAGACATAAACCATAAACTAAGCAAATATGTACGGAATTGCTCACCGCTGAATTTTCTCGTTTTCCTGATGACTGTAAAGGATATATACAGACTTGTGCAATAATAATAAGATTTATTCTATGTTAGATTGGGATATGCGTGTGAAGCTATAGTAACCTTAACTGTGTCATGAAATAACATCAATACCATTCAAGTGGTCAATCGTCAAGGACATTTAAAACTCATGATGGTCAATTAAATATACCTATGTGTATTACACTAGTAAGAAAGTTTGTTTTATGAATATAAGATCATCATGGATTTTACAGTTTACAGACATAATATTACCATTGATTATGATACAGATGTAATACAATTTTTGAATGGATATCTTACAGATGTATCACTATCACTGATTGGATTGCTTACAAATGTAACACCATCATCAATTGGGTATCTTACAGGTGTAACACAATCCATGATTGGATATCTTACAGATGTAACATTTTCAAAGATAAGACGGTAAACATAACACCATCACTGATTGGACAAATCTACAGGTATTAAAGACTCGGTGAAAATTTCACACAAAACAAGTGTTGTAACGATTCCTTAATGCTGGACATTTTAAACATAAAGGGAATTCACCGACTGTTACTCACCATCCACCTGAGTACCGATTTCTATCACAGACAATGAGTGGACCATTAATGATTGTTCTAACCATGCAATGTTACACACAACAGATGATAGTATTGTCAAGTTGAATCAAAATAAAATCACCAAAAAATCTGCTAAAAGGTCACATTTCCATACTGTTGGTTATAAATAAATTAATAAAAATCTACAACCAAAGGCCAATACTAATTCTGATTGTAATTGTGTCATAAAAATGGAGTGCAGAATTACTTGTACAGCGAGTGCATGGTCAATAAATAAATTCTTTGTGAAAGAAAAAATTACAATATTTAAATAATGGAAGCATGGGTATGACAAAAGGTAGCCCAAATACCGTAGTGATATATTTCTTTTTGCCAGGGAATCTAGAAAAGGTTGTTTGGGAGGGCTATCTATTGGTGTACATAGTAATAACTATGTGTTAGTATTACTAGCCTACACAAAGCTAGCCTCACCTGCTGTTTGCCTTTAGTTTTAGTCTGACACAAAATATATAATATAAATCATTTCATTTCATACAAAATTGATGACATTTTCCTAAAACATGGTTATTCATTTCATCACCTGTTACTAATTTTTTCCCTTCTTGCTACATGTTTAAAAAATCTAAAATATCAAAAACATATCATTCCAATTGACTGATTGTAACCAGAGATAAATTATCAAGGAACTATTTATAAAATCACATTCCCTAAGTTTCCCCCATCTGTTTGAATTATCTACCTTTGTTCGGAGTTTCCTCTTTGCAGCAGCCTGTTTGGCGGCAGCATCTTCCCCTGGGTCTACCACAAACTCCAGTGTACTGTTTTCCTTGATGAGGACCAACCCGACACTGTGAAGGTAGACCTGGGCAAGTTCTAGGTAGCCTTGTCTCATCAGTCTGGAAACAATGGTTGTTAAAATCTAAAATCAGATATACCCTAAAGTCCTGAAAATAAGTCAGGGCTTATATTTTTTATATTATAGCTTATTCTTGAGATCTGCTTATTTTTATAACTGTATCGCTTTCAAGGTATTTTTAGCTACAGTTTGAATAAGGCATGTTTGAGGAATTATTAACGTAAGTCAAAACATGCTTTCTACAAACTGGTGAGAAAAATTAAGAAGAACTGAATATTTTCAATATACCCTGCAGACATTTATAATCAATGTATGAGAAAAAGAGATACACAATAAAAAAAGGGTCGCAACTCTGTAAATATCAAAGTATCGGTATAAAGCCTATATTTTGCAACAGAACAATTCACCATCTTCAGATCTGGTAGCAGTAGATAAAATTTTAAGAGATATGCTCCGGACAAGCCAACAGACAGAATGACCAACAGACAGAATCAGAATGATTGAGGGCAGGAGAGATCGATGGACAGACTGATAAACTAAGTGCAAATCTTCAGTCCTTTCTAATTAAATGATATGTTGTTTGACCTAAATAAATTCTACCAGTTGGTAACACCTACCCTAGATCATGGTCAGTGGAGAAGCTGATTTTAATGGAGTCAATCAACGTCTCAGCTGCTTTCCTGTGGTTGAACTTGCCCATGTATACCAGCATCCTCTGGACTTTACCTACAAGGAAGAAAACCAGGAGAGGTTGAAACCTTATCCCCATGATATGCATGAGCAATGCTTTCAGCAATTCCGAAAGGCATCAATATTTGCTTGATCACAGTGACCTATTTAAAGCATGCAGCTAATAACAATGTGACACACTGCAAAAACATAGTGACACCCCAATAACTAAAACAGTATCATTACTTGAGTATTACCAACTTACACTGTGTCAGGTAATTTTAATATAATAACTGTATGTTGTGAGTGACACCTGCATCTAACTGAAACAATAGTCTCAATGACCTACTTTCAAAATTATGGAAGACACATCCAAAGGATTACTAGCCTGTGTTAAGGTACTTTAAGTGTAGTAAGTAATCAGTTAGAGCATGATCACAGTGCCCTTCTTAAGTCTTTCTTATCAAACATGACCTACTTTAAGATAGCACCTTCTAGGTGGAATCGGTATCAATGTGACCTACTTTAAGCAAGTCTAAGACAACACCTACCCAGCTGGAGCAAGATCTCAGCTTCTAGATTGGCTTCCCTCATCACTGCTACCTGGGACAGCTCACGAGCAGTGGTCAGTACTCCAAGGGCATGAGTCCAGGTGACCACAGGGTCATTGTCAGTCCTGTTAAAAAGCACCACTTCTGTTAAAAATGTTTAAAGTATACTACAAGTTCTATATGACAAATAAGCTTAAACATATAGTAAATTACCAAGTTTGTGAACAGTTTAATTTCGTTTTTAAAATGGCTACCTACCCTCCACGGATATACTTGGCAGCATTTCGTGCCATTGCATGACCCACTCTCAGTTTGATTTGGGCTAGACGCAGCACATGGGGTAGGTAGATGTTTCTCATGGGACTGATCGGAGCTGAGAAATGGGATTTTTCTCCTTTAGGGTAGTAGTGCTCTATCTTCTCACCGAGGTCCTCCATCTGTAACAAAGATCAATCACTGTGCATTGTCTGGACTCGCATGACGACAATGATATTCTGACAGTTTTCAAACTTATCCTAAATAACAAAGAGTGTATCAAGTAGAGACATATCATTTAGTAATAAAGCCTCCTACCTGTTGTAGTATAATGTTCTGAGCAATTAGGTATTGTTCCAATGTCTTTTCTGTAAACACTGCACTCTCGTCCTCTCTCTCTACAGCATCAATATCTGTCTTCAGGACAATAGCCATGGCATACAGCTGTTCTGATGGAACTGACCGCTTCGGAATTTTCTGGAGTAGGTCAATCACATCCTGTAAAAGAAATTAACACATTCATTGAAACAAAGTTCAATCATAAATATGTAACAAAGGACATGTCTGCATGAGGGATTAAACAAAAGACCTCAATTACTAATCTTTTAAGTTCTACAGAATAATTACAGCTGCAGATGATTTTATCTAGCCCTAGCATTAGGTACCTTAAAGTCCAGGGATACAGACATTAACCAAAGAGGCAGGGAGACCAATACCCTGTAGACACCTTCCTTGACCAGAGAAGCAGTATGCCCCAGACATTGTAGACACCTCACTTGACCAGGGAAAACCACTTGCTCCAAACCCTGTAAACATCTTTCCTGACCAGGAAGGCATTGTGCTTCAGGAAATGTAGTCATATACAGACACCTACCTTGATTACGAAGACAGTGTGTTCCACACATTATAGACACCTAACTTTATAAAGATGCAGTGTACTCCAGACCCTTTAGACATATGTCCAGGGAGGCAGTGTGCTACAAACACTGTAGACACCTACCTTGACCAGAAAGGCAGTGTGCCCAGATCCTGCAGACACCTACCTTGACCAGGGAGACAGTGTGCCCAAATCCTGTAGACACCTACCTTGATCAGGGAGGCAGTGTGACCCAGATCCTGTAGACACCTACCTTGACCAGGGAGGCAGTGTGACCCAGATCCTTTAGACACCTACCTTGATCAGGGAGACAGTGTGACTCAGATCCTGTAGACACCTACCTTGACCAGGGAGGCAGTGTGACCCAGATCCTGTAGACACCTACCTTGATCAGGGAGACAGTGTGCTCCTGATTACACAGATACCTACCTTGACCAGGGAGGCAGTATGTTCCAGACTCTTGCCCTCTATGATGTTCAGGAAGGCTCCTGACATCAAGAAATCTGCCTGAGTCTCAGCATCCCCACAAGCCTCTGCCTCACTCAGACCCTCAGCACAGTACTGACGACAATCAGCAAGCTCCTGCAGCACTTTGATATCTGGATCGACTGTTGGATTAAAGATAAAGATGTGTTGATCCCTGACATTAGAACAACAGAAGTTCTGGCATCATCATTATACCTAAATATCAGGTTTCATCATCAGTCCTATTAAAGAAATAATGGAAGAAATCTACTATGTTATTACCTTTCATTTGTCCAAGGCCGCCCACCTGCATCATCAGACATTTGACGAGCGCCTGGCGACAGTCAAGCCAAAGACGTGCATCCAGGCGTGACCGACTCTGAAAGTTTTGGAACTGGAACTGATTTGTTTCCGGAGACACAATCTTGACGTCCTCGGCATAGTGGATCCTACGGGAACTGTTCTGACCCTTCAGGGACGAGGGCCTAGCAACAAACAAACCACAGTGACACAGGGAACACACAACTCAATTAATCTACCATTAGCCAGGGCCATCTACAAACTAGTCACTGTTATAGGTAGGATATGAAAACAGAGGCAGAAGATAATTTGAAATTATCAACTACTAAAAATTGTTTTAGAAAGAAAATTTGTGTGTCTGGAAAGTCTGATCAGTGACTGCTTCAATCATGTTACAGCATCTTAATTATCATGAGTTAGTGGTTCATACAATATGTATACAATTCCATTATTTAAACAAAATCAAGAATGGAATACATAGCCTCGTGTATGTACAATTGTAACAGGTAGGTACAGATGTACCAGTATTGTCAAAATACTCTGTCTATCCTCTATTGAATCTTTTAATCAAATTATCATAATACAAGTACACCATTGAATTTAAACCTCAGCTATTTGATTTTTCTTTTTTTTTCAAACAAAAGGCCATCTCTATAAGTTATTCATCCCATACTGCTGTTTTCGTTGAATTGTAAATCAATGTCCTATATTTTGCTTTCCTGTTATAGGCCCATTCCCTGACTTTGTGTCAAAAGTATTTTATTGTCAGTCTTTGTTTTTTGTAGGAAAATTAAAGATATGCTTGATAATGATAATGAAAAAAAAAGAAACTTTTATAATAGCAAATAAAATCACTATATACATACATAGACAGATGGACTTATAGACAGATAAAACAGACATGTACATACAGGTATAGCTTAGACACAAGGATAATGATATCTACAGAGAAACACAAGTACATCAACATAAAAAAAACTGTGACATATAGGAAGTTAAGCCGTAGAGACAGAAACAGACACCTGACAAGACATGTAAACACCTGAACAGACAGAAAAAGACATATAGACACCAGGAAATACAGGAAAAAGACATACAGACACAAGGACCGAAAAGAAAACAAACAGACACTAGGAATGACAAGAAAAGATGTATATAGACACCTGGACAGAAAGGACAAGACTTACAGATACCTGGACAGACAGGAACAGACATACAGACACCTGGACTGACAGATCAGAAATACGTAAACAAGGAGGCAAACAATATTCAATGAAAAGTATTATAAAAATGTGTGCAAGTTGGAAGTGATTAAAGTACCCAGACATCCATCAATGCAGGCCAAGAAAATGTTACTTAGAGAACCACGGACACTGGTCATATATTAGTCCTCGTACCTGTATCTACTATAGACATTTATTCAAAAACATTCAGCATTTCCCAGAGCCCCAAGTCTACCATCACCATAGTCATCATCACTAAAACACAACAGTCTGCCTTCACAAACACTTTCACCAATAAACACTGTACTATAATATGTTCTATAGCATCAGCACTTCCCTAATACCATTTAAATAGCAGAATTAAATATTGATCTGAATTTTCAATAAAAGGTTAAAGTGAATAAAAAAAAGGCATGTTTAAAAAACATAATTAAATCATGGGATTAAGTAGTAAACACAGGGAGCTGGAGGAAAAAATAATAAATATATTTATCATATGACTGTCATTTTTTCTACAAGATGATTGGTCTAAACACCTCTCATTGGTCTACATCTATTGCAAGGTTACAACAAAACAAGCAGAATCTGTGCTCATGCAGTGAATACATCAATCAAATTCCCCCTCAGGTGTTTCACAGGTGAATATGACAATCTAAGCAGCCTGTGCTGCAATGTTTTACCAATCAGTCTGACGTCATATAATAAAACAATTATTGACCTGTTTTTAGGTGAATATAAGGAATTATCAACCTGAGCAGGTGATATTTCCTGCAGATTTTGCCTCCAGTCTTGGGAAATATAAATTTCCCAGATCATAAAATCCTTGTATTCACCTGAAAACAAGTGCATGTATTTGTAAAATGTTATAACCTGAGGTAATTAAGGAGCAGAATTATCTGTAAAACATTCCACAGTATTTAAGGAGTAGAGGCAAAATTTCATAAATTATGTTATACACAGAGGTAGGATAGGAATTAGAATTACCTGTAAAAATGTAATACAATGAAGGTGTAATATGATACACCAAACTTGTATCTATCATATATTACAGGTGATTAAGGAGTAAAGGTACAATATTTATATATAATATCCTGGAGGTATTAGTTATGTATTACAGGAATGAAGGAAAAATTAACAATGTAGAAATGATTTAATACAATACACTGGGGAGGGATAAGGTATAGCAACACTAAATATAAACAGGAACACCTTTACATGTCAAACTCACAAAATGTGAATATAACTTTGAATAATACCAACAGGTAAATTCTTTATTCTTGAATTTTTGTCTCTCATTTTTTAATATTTTAAATAACTAAACAATGATCACCAGAAAATTGGAAAACAATAAATTATTTTGGTACCATACTTATACAAAAATTTAATCATTGATTTTATCTTATTTAAGACAAAAACTGAAGTTTCTGAAGGAAATTATGAAAATTGTTCCTTTCACAGCTGACATGTACGTTGTAACAGTTAATCCCAAACCATGGAGACAACATGCAGGTATGTAATTTCAATGATAACAAAATATAAAGTTCACACAGGAACAAACTCGGTAGGGAGTCCACAACCTCAGGACAACTCCACTTACTTTCGACGATCTCGTGTTGGACTAAAATATGGAAGGTGAGACAATGAAACACAGAAGAAATGATGAACAAAGTAGAAAGAACGGTGATTATGCCAGTAAGAAACTATGATTCATCTCAAGTAACATAAAATACATCATAGTTATAAAACCTTGAAAAAATACATTAAAAAACCATTTGTTTGTTTGCTTGATTTATCATCACATGAACAGTCAGGCTCATTTTGAGATGGGGCCTCTTTGCAGAAGCTGGTGGATACTTCATTGAATAACACACTGGAGGCCCATTGCATATTATTCAGAGCAATGGGGTTAAAGCATCTTCCACAAGGACACAATCATGACAGCACTGACCACTACATTTCTCAGCTTCCCAAGAAACACAAACTACCACATGAAGCCTTGAACTAAACACCTTGAATCTCACCTGCGGTTATGTAGACCAATGATCTACCGAATATCAAGTTATCGTAGCCCCTATAAGGGACACATGCAGTCAATGCTTTGATCTACTTAAAACTTCTATTGTAATAAATATCAGTAACTTACACTGAACTTTATCTGCTTTTTACTTACTACTGAGAAATATACTGATTCAAAATGATGTAAATACTACAAAAATTAAAATAAGCTGTGATATGGATGTATTGTAAATGTGAGCTGTGACAACTCAAAGGCAAAAAAATGTGATTCTGTGTCTCATTGTTAAGACAAATGATCAGTGTCTCTCTGTAAAACATACAAAGAAAAGTTAGCTGAGATACACTGAATATTTCTCATTGGCATTCTCCAACAATGATTTTATATTGTTAAAACCTTAACATACGTCTGGTACTAGGTCGTGAGTGGAAGTATTATCGACCTAATTATGTCTTCCTGACAAAGCAAACAATAGAATAAGCTTCATTGAGTGACCTCTTGTATGCAAAAGTCCAACTAAAAAAAGAAAGATTAAAAGAAAAAGTAAAACAGAATGTGTGCTACTCTATATACAGTGAAGGTAAGGGGGATAACTCTAGTTACCTGTCTTGAGTTGTGTTTTCTCTGTAATAGTAATATTATACATTTAACTAAAACAACTATAATACTGCTTATACAGGAGTCAAATAGATATAATAGTAATTAATTGGTTTAAAGTATAAAAATACAACTCCTATTAGGATTTTTTTAGCATGTTTTTCTAGCACTACAACAAGATATTGGCTTACTTTAGATATACAGTGATGTAAAGACCTACCTCGGTGGTGGGGGAACCTCCTTCTTAGGTTTAAACAGGTCAGATGACTTGAGAAGTTTGATCGCAGAAAGAACAATGCGAGCAGCCAATGGAGCATGCTGTTTCTGCCGTGCAATATTAGCCTGTTGTAATTTACACAGTACAACCAGCTCTAACTCTGCAGCAGGCAAGCACTCCAGTCCTGAAAAGCAGACACACAAAAACATTATAAACTGTTGACAATACTGATAAACAAGGAATATGATTGGTTAACAAACATGGAGTTGAAAACAAACAAAGAATATGATTGGTTTACAAACAATGGAGCTGAAAACAAACAAGGAATATGATTGGTTTACAAACATGGAGCGGAAAACAAACAAGGAATATGATTGGTTTACAAACATGGAGCGGGAAAACAAACAAGGAATATAATTGGTTTACAAACATGAAACCAACATGATTTACAATTCAATAACAGATATGGTTTAAAATACAACTGATCTACAGATATACAAACATTTATGTAATTAGATCTGTTTAGAGTGACAAGAATGGCCCAACCAGCAACCAGAAAAGTTAAATAGCCAAAGCTATGGGAAAAATTTCATTGAGCATAATCAAATCAGAACTTGACCAGCATATTATTATATAACCACATACCAAAGTATGTCACTGTATCCATTAAAAAGCAAATGAGCGAGAAAGAAATTATGATGGAATGATGTACAAGGGTAACACAATAAGTATACTCTGACCCAAGCATAAAAATTACCTTTACATACATAAGTAATATCATCTAGTTACTGTGGAATCTGCTTAACAATACCAATGACCTAATTGGTTTAAAATATAGTTCATTTAATTATTTTACAATACAAATAAGCAGATTTGTCCTGAAAATGAAATAAATTAGATACGGTAACCACATATTTTTTTTCTAAAATTCACAATATCGCTTTAAAATAAGGATTAGTTGTATACCATTGTCAGCATGTTCAGCATTTTCTTGGATGACTTCTGCTATAGTGGATACCATTTGGTCAGCAACAGCCAGTAATGTGCCCTTGATGAGTTCTAATGTCAATGGCTTCTTACTGCTGGTGAAACGGCGTTGGATGTTGGCACTCTCCACACTCTCAAGGTCATCATCTGCACAGTACATAACAGAATTTTAAATTCTCCCACATTCTCAAGGTCATATCTGTGACAATACAATTACCCTGGTAAACCTTCCTCTACGCTCTCAAGATCATTGTATGTACAGTAGATGACAGAATTTAACCTTCCTCCACATTTTCAAGGTCATCATCTGTGGTGACACCACTTAACTAATTTAAGACTGAGGAGCTAGGGTTCCACTGTATTCAGTCTAAATAGGTCTCCTGAATAATTTTGTAGTTGTCAGTGTAAATCTTAACTTACCAGCATCTCTACGGCTGTCGGAGGCAGATTTAGCTTTATGTGGTTTGGATGTCATACTGTTAGTCCCTCTAAGGTTCTTACTCTTTGCCATTGTACTCATTGTGTAAGGTTTGAGTGAGCCCTGCCCCTCAGGTACCCTGCAAACCATATCACACCACTAAATACACCGCCAGTAAGGGTCAAATGATAAAAACACAATGATGAAATAGGTACATGAAATAAAGATCTGTTTGAAAAGGAAAAAAAAATTTGAATTGTCATGCCTTGCTATAATTTTAATATTTCACTATCATGCTACTTACCTGTCCATGAATGAATTTGTACAGCATTTACTTCCAAATATTATGTACAAGATAAACATAAGGAAAAACAACAACAATCAAGCTCCTAATATCATTACAAAGAGACACTTGGAGAGTTGATCATGATCAGTTTTAGTTCTGACATTGATACAATATCACAGTGTTGACCCCAATAGAGAATTTTAGCCCCTGATGCTGGTATCTGGAGAATATATCACAAATTCTGGCTTGGCTTTTGTGAGGGATAAAACTTAAGAGCAGATGAGTACATGCTTCAATTATTATTTATTTTTCAGCTTTAATAACAAACAAAATGTAGGACAAGCAAGTATATCTTCGAAAATTGGGATACAACAACATCAGCACTGGGGTTACTTCCCCTTACATCTCACCAGTTAAATTTTGTCATCGCGATAGTTCACCTCAAATGTACTATAAACATACAGGTATATAATTTCAGTAAACATGTACAGATCAGTAAATGAGAGAAGGGAATTAAAAATTACATTACGACTATCTCAACATGGAGAACACATGTATTACTGGGAATATTGACCAGTGGATTGTGAGAAAATAACATTCATGTTATTATGAGGACATGTCCAGCTTAAAACATCCTAAGATAGGAGGGCAGTTCACATGGGGGTACATATAACCAAATAAATATATCCCTCATACTATGATGTGGTAAGAAGCATATACATAAGTACAGAAATATTTCATGTATATATAGGTATAAACGTATTTCTGTCTGTACAGAACCACAACCTGATTCCAAACACGGGTGAACATGCTCTCATTATGTACTACAAGGAAATACAAAGCTTTACTGACCAGTGTATTAATTAGTCTCTATACTAGCATGCAAGACTCTTATATTGTCTGTGTTGCATAAAACTTGACCAACTTTCTTAGTTTGGAAGACATCCTGATGATTTATGTATAGCATGTGAATCTAACTCACATACATTGTAGGTATAAATGGTGTTAATCTCTGGAATGGTAGTATAACTAATATGCTGTTTACCAATAAGCCTATTAATTAAGACAGTGAAAACAAATCAATCAGTCACTATGATATTTTAATGGAGTTTTTGATTGATATATGTATTATTGCTGATTGTTTTACTTTCTCTTGATAAAAGGTTCTCTGTTCACATGAACTAACTGGCCACTGTTTAGAATATATTTTAATGGAGTTTTAATCAAGTATATTTGTTAATTGTTTCACATTCTCTTGATAAAGGTATCAATAATTATGAATTAACTGGTCATTAATTAGAAGAGATTTTAATGGAGTTTTTATTGATTACGTTTGTTATTGTTGATTACTTCATCGTCTCTTGATAAGGTTCTCAGTTAACATGAATTAGCTGGTCACTGTTAAGAAGAATTTTTAATGGAGTTACCTTCTCTTGATGTACCTCTTTATACGTCTCTGTCTATTTAAGCGTTTGCGTTTACTAACAAGGAAAAGCAGACAATCACCATTACAGGTATTTTCAGATTTCGATTTATCAAATCAAGAAAAAAAGAAAGAAATCTGTGTTTGCCAAAACACCTTATAATAAATAGATCCACACACACAACACCATAAGCCAATCCTTGCGAAATGCTTCAATGATGTGGAGTCAATATTTCTTTAATAAGCATATTATTATTGAGCTAATCTGACTATACACAAGATGCAGGTCTACCTGTGAATATCCAATACTTTTATCAATATATCTTTATTTGTGAGACTGATTTTGCAAAGACAACAATTTTTTAAAAACATTTTTGAAAATTTCACCACATTAAATGAAGCTTTCCGAAGTTGTGATTTGGCTGAAACTCTCGACTGATGCATGCTTACAATACTACAGATAAGAGGGAAAGGAAATGGGTCATGCATGACTGATCCGGTTATATATATGGGTAAGCCATGCATGCTTCAAATACCTCATCTGTCTCACGTAGCGAGACACAAGTTTGCGCATATGGATGGAAACATGGCCGCTGATAAATGTTAAAAAGAGACAACAATATGATATACTACTTACACTCTAGAGCATACATGTCATGTGATACAATATAATCTACTGAATATTACAGTATTACATATATACAAATACAACAAACATGTGATACAATAGGTTAAATACCAGGTCACACAATAGCTATCATGTGATAACACACAAAACATTATAGATAAGATATCACAACATTTTTACTGTTTTAATTGATCTTTTATCAAAGTTACTAAAATTCTAGCAGACAATACCCAAAATAAATACATGTTATTCGATTTCACATCTACACATCTTGTTGACTATTTTATTTCTATATATGACAACACTTCTTGCAACAACTACTTATATCTGCCACATTCTAACACACAATCTACATTCATCACACAATCAGACATTCTACATAATGACAGCATACATTATCTCCCCTTTGTGCCTGAGAAGTAATGATGCTAATTAAACAAACAAACATTGAAAAAATAAAAACAAAAAACAGCAAACAAAAACAAAATCAAAAACAATTAAGGACCAAACTTGTTTGATGTATGAATGATATTACAGACATTACTAGTCCTAAAGAAAGGATTTTTTTTGACGAAAATTTTCAAAAGAGTTTCCTAGAAAGAGTTAAAATGAATGAAATACAGCTGGAATTAAGAAATAAAAAAGAAATTTTATATTCACAATGTTAGCACTAAGATATAAGATGTGATGGTGTTACATTGACAGTATACTTACAACACATCCTCTATGACAGGGATAACAGGAATACTCTCCCCTAGGGACACGAAGAAATGGGCCTGAACCAGCGCTAGGTGACAGGTCATGTGGGGGCCATACAGTGTGGCCAAACTGGAGGGCAATCGTTTGTCCAGGAGGTTTTCCAGCAGCTGTGGGAAATGTACAGGAGTTATCTCACAATGGCGATGTATAACATCACAAATATCTCACTAGTAACAGTGTTATTATCATCACATAATGAAGTGCAGTTCTACAGAAATGTACAAAGTGAAGTAAATATATCACAAGAAGCACCACAGATACAAAACATGTCCAAATTATTATATAAACCTATTGCCTTTTTAAACTGGTGTATAATAATTAAGTTTCCTTGGAGGAGGTAGGGGAGGTGAATATTTTCGTTGAATTTTAGATAACCCTTAATTGCAAATTTATATGGCCATGAAATGATTAATTTAAGGTGAATTTATTGGAGTATAGTAGGGAATTTCCTAAGCAAGATTTCTCCACAAAATCAAGTACCATAACCATAAAAATTGGAGCATGACAAAAAATAAATTACATCACAGACCGATTAATCAAATATCATAAACTGAAAAGCAGTATCCTAATCTCTTTATTGTTGGACCATAGCTTACCTTCATGTTGACTGGGTCTGTGATTGGCTTGGCTGTGTTAAACATAGCAGATTTCATCTTGGACTCGACCTGACGGAAGTTGCTATCCCCCGTATGTGGGAGTCGCTCTCCATGTAGGAGTCGCTGAAGGGTGATCATCGCCTCAGTGAAGAGTGACATGTCTGTTAGGATCCGTACCTTCAAGATACGGCCATCCACACAACGTTGGAGGTCGCGGCAGACAAAGGTGGTGAAGTGGAGGTATAGGGTCAGCAGAGGCAGCACCTGTAAGACAAAGGTACCAGAAGAGAGATTAAGAGACTGATAATATTAAAGACTGGCCATAGATCACAACTGAGAGACAACAAGAACATCAGATGTTGGTGGCATTATATGTAATCTCTCCCACAGTGCATTGCAATACCTCTGTAAACCGCTCACACTATTTCAAGATTTTTGAAAAAGTCTTTGTGTTTAATGGGGGTAGTTCATCCTGTATCTGTTTTGTTATTTGTATTATCATTTTGCAAACAGATCTCAAAATCCCAAATCTAACAGTCTACAGCTGTGTCCTTTCGTTGGTGTTGTCAGGGATGCTGCCATAGTTTTGCATTACGTCAAACTTTGATCTTGACTTTAAAGTCAATTATCGGTAGTCCGTTAGCTGTTTACAGAGGTGTATTGTGACAGTTAAGAAAGGACAACTCTGGTAGAGACTGATCATGTACCATCAAAATTTGTTAAAAGAGTATCAATATATATCAAAAATATAAGAAAAGAGAAGTCATAAAAGTTCTTAGAATAGTTCGTAATTTTCATTTTGCAGAATAATGATTAAAAATGAGTCTTACAAAAAGATTGTGTCTGCCTCTTGCTAGTTCCTCGGATGTCCAGCGAAGCGAAGAAACCAAGGTACGTCCATCCATGCGGAACTTGTCTGACAGGAGATCAATGCCTGGAACAAGGTTTGTGACCTCACAACCCTCTCCAACCTCGTACATGGCATAGTCACGATCAGCAGTGGGATGGGGTAGAGATGATCGGAACAGAGCCTGAGGGAAAATGATAGGTCAATGTCTCTTACAATGTTAACAGTTTTTATTGTCTAGGAAGTTTTCATTTACATAAATCTATGTGACCTCAAAAATCTTTGTTGTAATTGAATCTTTACAAGTTACAAAACGTTTGAGTTGTATGAATATAAAAGATGTCCCCAATATTTAAGACAAACTGTAGTGATACCTTGAAGAAGTACCCAGACAGGAAGCAGCACTCCATACGTAGACCTAGGTCCTGTGTCAGGATATATCTGTAGAGATGTAAGACAGTAACTATCACACATATATTACAGCAATACACACAGACCAATTAGGTCCTGTGTCTGTACACCTGTACACAGGCAAACCATTAATTATCAAACCCGTATTCTGATTAGGTTTGTCTGTGTTAGCATGTATTAAAAGAATTTCAACTGAAAAAATAGACAGTACAAACTCATCACTTTGTTTTAACTAATGTTTTGTGTATTCATGATGAGGTTGTACTTACTGAGCAATCTTTGAGGCAAGGACTCCTCCAAGAACACAGCCCCACAATCCACAGTGCTGCAGCATATCTGAACTGATATCAGTGCTCTTATCAAAGAGCTTACGCCAGGTGTGTAAAGCGTCTGATGTGTTGAGGGTGTAGTCAAGAGACTCGGCCCACCACTGGTATGCCATCCTGTAAAAAAAATCACCAATACATAGTAAGGACTGTAATCAGAGGGGATATGTGGGCTAAACAAACCTATATGTATCACCAACTACACAGAAACACAGACTTACAGACAGAATCACTGTCAAACATAAGTCAGTGATAGTCAACAGCTTACTGAACATACCTGATGTTGGAGGAGTGGTACTGCAGATTACCCAGCTCATGCATTGCCTGAGCTGCTAGTCCACGCTGGTTCTTGGCTATCAACATTTCTGGAAAAAAATATATATAACTGTGGTATCAAAACTAGAACAATGAAAAATGGCACAAAATAGTGGTATATACTTAGGTACATCTTTCCATATAGTTCTAATGGAGATCAAACCTTACCTATGGTCTTTTCGTATGAGGAGATGACAGTACCCAGCTGTGAGCGAGGCATGCATGATGTCTGGACATCATCAATATGTAGGTACTCCTCGCGACTGATGTCCAGGGGCATGGTTGGTTGTGGGCGCGCGGTGTTGGGGGTAAACTCCACCTTGGACACTTGGCGACTCAATGGTAAGTCGCTTGCTGTTAAGGAATATACAGGTGTGTAAGTGTATGGAGTCGACAGGTAGAGATGAAGTATTAAACTGTACCATGGATGTATTATAATTGTCATCACATTGATTGACAAGGACTTAAAAAGTTGATGAATATCACAATAATTCAGTGTTATGAACCATTGACGTTGTAAGGTATTAGGAGAAGACATGTACGAAGATAAGATGACATACACCTCACCTATAAAAGGTAGGACATTTAATAGACGTAATACTCACAGTTCTGTTGACCAGCCAGATAGAGAACTAGGAGGCGTCGGCTGTGTTGCAGTGCGTGACAGGTGTACTGAGACTTATCAAAAACAGTTCTCAGCACAGACAGACTGTGGGGGACATCCAGTGGTACAGATACATTTCTCTTAGCATCCTCACCTGTAACATCATACAGACACACTATAAAATTTTCTGCAAACTAACACTAGTTAGTGGATGGTTTTAACAGACCCATGCAAGGCTATTCAGATTAATAGAAGGAAAAAATATTGATACGTTAACATATTCTAAACAGTCATGATTTAAATTTAGAGTATTACTTGTGTAGGCGCCGTGGCCAAGGGGGTCGATCTGTGCTCCAGGCTGTATGTTGGAAGACTGAAGCTTGTCACTGCTGATCACCAACTGACTATGGAGGTACTTCTTGGCTGTGATAACACCATTTACTCTCTGCATGAGAAGTTTGATATGTGACTGAGGAGGTACCTCTCCACCCAGCTCATATATCTGATCCTCCAGTTGTCTCTGAGCCTGAACCAGTAGTGGTACGATCTGCTCTGCATATCGGTCACTGTCAAATCACACATTGTATTTATTTTAATTTCAAACTTCCCAATCTTCTGATCTGCTATATGTCAAAAACTTACAAATTGTAGAAATTTTGTTTTCCTACCAAATAGGTCAATATCTGTATAAAATTGCACGATGCTTGAACTGATAATATGAAAATTTAGACCTTACTAAAAACCAATACCATATCAATATGATGGTACATATGATAACCATAGGGTTTAATATTCCAAAGTTAAAAATTCATATTTCTCCATATTTTGGCTTTCATTAAAGTATACTTTATCAATTTGTTTTCATAAAAAATTTATCATGAACAAAAACGATTAGAAACAGAAAATTGATTATGCAACATCAAACGGAGGCAATACTAACTTTGACAGAGCACTGAATCGCAGAGCTATGTCCACCAGCTTTTCCCATTTCTGTTCGTAGTACAACAGCTCCATGACCCTCATCACTAGCCGACGCACCCAGCGTATATCACTGATACTCAAGTTGTCAAGAGGATTTTCAAACTTTAAGTTGGCTCCTCCCTTCTCGTCCTTCGCCTCTCCTGTCCAGGACTCAAACAACTCTCCAAGTTTACGGTTTTTCTTTCTCTCCTATTACACACAGTAACAATCATGAGATAACTCTTTATACAGAGGACGTATCTTCATCCTATAATACCTTAACTTACCATTGAAACAAACATGGAAAATGTCCTATCTGTAACTAGATGTAAAAGTCTTTCTTGGAGACAGTTAAAAAAAACAACCCATTACAAATGTCTGCTACCTTGGATTTCCAGAATTTAGCGATAATTTAGCTTCTAAAAACAGAGTGCTCAACATAACATAACATAACAGCATAAGTTTTTATATACCTTATTAGCATGGGCCTCAAGATCCAGCTGGAACTGAGCAAGCATGTCAAGGACACAGTCTGCTGCCATGTAAAATGGCCTCCATACCAGACCCCGCAGCTGGTCGATGGACAGTAAACCATCATCGACATTGGCATTAGGTGAGAAAGCTCTCAAGAGGGCGGTATGGGCACAATTCCATAGTGACCGACAGGCATTCTGTAACAATGTCCAGTGCTGTCCCCTATGGGCCAAATTCTGAAAAATAAAAATTAACTCGTCAGTCTGTGTCAGCATTTAATGAAATTTTCTTTTAGTTGTTCATGGACAAGTGCTTTCATGGAGGAAAACAGTAGCGCATGGCCCTCCTTAAGTAAGTGAAGGTCAGTATGAGGGCTCTCACTTTACAACCTCTGTACTTATTATTATGAGGGCCTCAACACAAAGTCTACACTTTCTATGGCAAAAGTCAGAGTCAGGTCCTATTCTTTACAAAGTCTGTACTTATTATGGCTACCTGAAGTAAGTATAAAGGTCATAGTGAAGGCCTCATCTTACTGTACTTTTAAGGCCCTACTGAAGTAGGCAAAGGCCCTATTGTGGGCCTAAACTTTACATGTCATGTACTTACTATGGCCCTCCTGAAGTAGGTGAAGGTCCTATTAAGGGCCTCCTCTGTATCCTTGGATGACAACATAATATTTTCCATAGGTTTAGGTGGAGCCTTGGGCATGTTGCTGACATCAGATCGGTATGTACGGGGTGTGTCCTCTGGCTCTGGGGGCACAAAGTACAGTGGGGGAGGGGCACTGCCTGCAACAGTCCAAAGTTAAAGCAATGTAATTATGTATAGTCACCAAAACTTCCTGCAAAACAATAATAAACCCTAATTACTTAAGACAGATCATAGAGTCTTTTCAGAATCATTCCTACATATAACCAGACAATTACCTGTTGCCATTGCTGCAGCGATCTCTATGCCAGTAGCTGTAGTTCTCGGACGTGTCTCCTGCTCATAACCAGCTTCCATATTGTCCATGTCCATCTCATCTGATCCCTGGCCATTGTACCGCTGGCGTTTACCGTCTCCATTCTTCCTGGAAGGTCCTCCCTCCCAGCCAACAACCAGGGTCCCTGCAGTTTCATATGTAAACCACTCCTGGTCGAGGAAATTCGTCCTGTAATGGTACATGGTGTTAATGGTGAGTGGTATATTCATAGGACAAATTTATTCCATCAAGTTATCAAAATTCATAACAAAACTAATGATTGATTGACAGTTGGTCAACGTACTTGTACATGGTACTGCTAGAGGTGCCCAGAACCTTGTCTCGAGTCTCTAACTTCTGTAGGAATGAGGAAAAATGACTCAATCCCTGGATCAGGGTCAGCTGTAAAAAACAACAGACAATTACATATCATGCTTTCTTTAAAGCTATACAACTTAGTAATTTGAAACTTGTAGTTTTTTAACATTCTTAATTAATTTTCTATCCTTTATTTTATTTACCTGACATCTCCATGGCAACTCATCTATGCAGAGTTTGCGAAGACGACGACGTCTCAACCACTGTCTGAACATGTCAGGAAGGTGAGCAGTGAACTTCTCTATTGCCTACAAAACATGGCACTAACAAATTATTACATGATAAAAATTCCCAAAACTCATAAAAAATTCCAAGAGAGTCTGACAGATTGCATCAAAAATATATCTTAACAATGAAAAGTTACCAAAGGTGAAGACAAAGTTTTAAATCATTGTGAACATTTTACATATTAAATTTCCATATCTTTCATACAAAAGTTGAACTGAATCATCCTTCATCCATTTTGTCATTGCTTGAGTTGTACAACATACTATCTAAAATATTTGGTTGCTAAGAATCATTTTCAAAAACATCTAAATGTTTATTTCGATGTCAGAACAAAAGATAACAACTACATACCCTGAGTTCTGCTTCTTCTTGGGCTTGTCTCGCACTTTCAGACATGTTGGCATTAACAAGAAGAGGCTGAAAGTAAAATCTGACAAAGTTAAAAGGACAAAGAAGATGACATCTTTACACCTTTCCCAGTATCACCACTCCTTCATAAACCTTCCACTTTTGCTGACCCAAATATGAACCCTTTAACCTTACATCCTGTCTCAGATGCCTTAATCTGTATTAATCTTATCTCACTTCTATTGTTCATAATCTTTTCTCCCTATCATTACCACATCTAGTTGACTTTTGACCTTCTCCAATTGCAAATGGTACATTTTTGTATATGCCTTCTGTCATTGACCTTTTTCTTAATTTTTTATAACCTACACACAATGTTTCGCAACGTTAATGTATATCCTGGATTTTTCCCTGTTTTACCCCATTGTACTGAACTTTTCCCCAGTTTTACTGTTATCACCTTTTTGTAACCTTTGCTTAATAACATTTTCGATGTTGTAGGAGGTATTTTCCCTTTTCCTAAGATTTGCACCATGACTTTTTCCCCTAATGTTGTATCTAACAGGTTTTTGCCTTGTGACCTTTTTTCCATTAAATTTGTCTGTTCCTGACCTTTGCCCTATGACTTCCCCTCTATTGTTAATGTTTCTGCTTATTCTAGACCTTTGCTCTATATAGTTGACACACATTTCCTTTCACTGATCTATCGTAAACTATGCATGTTTATGATAATGACCTTGTACTGGCGCCGACGTTTGGGTCGAGGAGTGGCCTTCGAGGGCGACTTGCTTGGCGTTGCCTTGGACATCTGTCCCGGAATCTTAGGTACAGTCATATCTTTCTCCTTGTTGTACTCAACTACAGCTGCGTGGAAGCGCTTTGGATCATCTCCTGTCACCGTGACAACTCCTGCCCCAGGTTGTTTACCCAGGAATGGCTTCATACCAATGATCTGCTCATTACGTCTGTCAAAATAAACATCAAGACATCAAATTGGATATCCAAACTGTTGTTGGATACCTTGGCCATTTGAATTAATGTCCCAAACTTTCCTTTATTTTTCTTCTTTTGATTTACTTGACAAGTAGTTCTGACTACAAGAATCACTATGTATTATCACAGTAACTTATTACATATTACATAATAAGTACCTGGTAAGCCAATTAGCTGTCTCATCACACCAGTCTGCGGCCTGCTGGGACATTCCCTCAGCAAGGGCTTTCTGAGCTACCTGGACAAAGAACTCCAGGTAACGATGACGTCGTTTGAACTTGGCCACTACAAACACAACATGTTGAAAAGTTAAACACTACCACCAAAAAATCAAACCGCAAGTACAGTGCAGATGTTACTCGTAAAATATTAATGAAACACATTTTAAAACAGATACCTTAATGAGAGTTCAAACACTTTAAACTACAAATCATTGTGATTTCAAAGAAACAGAAAACTGCAATTGAATATGTATGTACCTTCGCGATAAGCCAGTTTACTTGGCAGATAAGCAATGTAAGCATGGAGGATGCTTGGGTCCTCATAGCCTGTCAACTCATGATCATATTGTGCCTGTTTAGACAGACTCAGCATGTGAGCCTCCAGGGCCTTCAGCTCCTCATTGATGGGTCCGTCCCCATCCTCCTTTGTCCCCTGACCTCCAGGTCCCAATTTCTTGGCACGCCGTTTCTTCAGCATTTGTAGTGGCGCTGAGTCCGAGTCAGTCACATCAATGGAAGTGTCAACACGTTCACTTGCTGCGGTTGTTGTCCCATCACCATGGGATTTTCCATCTTTCTTAGGGGGCTCCTCAAATGTCTCCAAGGCCAGAAGCTTACGACCAGACTCGTTCAAAGAGTTTGCTAGCTGTTTCTGTCCCCAAGACCTCAGAACCTAAAATAATTACACAATATTACAGACAGGGTGTTTAATTACAGCATTATCTCAGAACCTGCACATAATTCATCATTTTATTTCAGAACACAGAGGTAGTGAATACTTTTTTATGAATCCAAGAGATTTGTGACTTTTTATTTTTGAGAACCTATAAGTATTGAAAGTTTTCATTGAATAAAGAGCTTAGAGTTATGAAGCTTTTTCATAAAGCATATATACAGTTATTTAGAGAGTCCTAAACATCTATCACCAAATTTGACTGCATGAATTTGACAAAATACAGGGATTGTGTGTTGCTGTGTACCTTGGCCATGTGATATGTAATACAAGCAGTCATGTGGTGCAGACTGTCAGCGATGCTCTGCTGACGTTTCTGTCTCAGACCAGAGGGAATCTCCTGAAGCACGACATGGCAACGCTGAAGAACCTGCAGGTGTAGGTGTACATAAATTACAAATCCAAAATGTAAATGTGTTGTACATAAGTTACAAATCTAAAATGTAGATATGGTATTTTGTTATCAATAGCAAAATACTTAGGTGTGTTGGTATTTCTACACAAAATTATCATGCTGTATCCAAATATAAAATATAACAAAAGAGAACAAAGTTGAGATTTCCATGCCTAGCATATATCTACATTGTAAACAGATCACCATAACTATTTTTAAGGTATGTCTGGACCATTGTTATTTAAAATGTTTGTACAAATGAAATGAGTTTTTAACCAATAAGAAGTGTCAAAAATAGGACCATGATATTTAATTTCATGTGTTACAAACACACTCATTTTGCCAAAATATGCAAGAACATTGACTGTTTTTTGAGAGGGTTGTTAACACTGAAAAGAAAACTCTGATTCTACTTTTCATTTCTAGGGTATTAATGACAAGAAAAAATAAAGATATAAAACTGTATGTTAAGCTGTTTAAACTAGTTTCCTTTGTCTCTCTAATTTTCATAGAAAAGATGATGATGTTTATACCTGTATAACAGCAGTGGAAGGTATCTTGTAAAAGATAAGTGGAGCCAGAAGGCCATACACTTGAACCACAGCTTGGAGAGCCAGGTTAGCTTCATTCAGCCAGCCTGCTAGTTCTATAGCTACTAACATCCTCTCACACTCCGCGAGACGCTTCATCTATAGTAACAGAGAGGCAGACAGTAAGAAACGATTGTGGAAAGGTTTATTTTGCATCAAATAATTTATGTGTTTATCATAATTTTAACATTTCAAGTTGATTAACTTTGATTGATCTTTGATTAACTTTGTAAAATGCTGTTGGGAGATTATACATACCTGTCCCTTGAAAAGCGGTCCCTTGTCACAGAGGACGTCACAGAAAAGTTTACCATCTCTGACACTCATATCAACGCCAATAAATATACTAGTGAGGAACTGGCGCAGTAATACCGGGGATGACAGGGAGACCACCTTCTGGTTCAACCTACAGACAAAATAAACAGTGAGTTATATCTCAACGTACAATACAGAAGCTTAAAGTAAAGAGAGAGATGACTTTCTGGTTCAGCCTGGAGACAAAATAAAAGGGAAAATATCACATCATATGATACAATCATTTACCGTACAGAGACAGACAACCTGTTAGACAAAATAAATCGGGATATATTTCCGTTTTACAATAGGACACACATACAGTGCAGAAAGACAGAGAGCAAAAATTTAACAGAATTTGCATGGTAGAAAACTACTTACTTCATCAAGGTCAATCGGAAATCCTGTTCTGACTGTGTCATGTAGGTGACACTCTGAGGGGCAGGAGGTTCTGCTATAAAGTGTTTCCATAGGACATCACAGGCTTGTCTGGCAATGTCATAACATCCAACCTGGTATGCTATCTGTAACAGTATCAGGTGTCATATATAGTACAGAAAAATAAGGATAATTCTCAAAAATACAAGCATATCAATGATATTCTGGTAATTTACCTGGCTGAGGAAGCCCCAGGTCATTAGCACAGGAAGTGGATGAGAGGCCAGGATAGGCTTTGTACTCTGTCCAATGGATTCACCAATCAGTTTTCCCTCTCTATTGTAAGCAGCCACAGCAAATAGGTAGCGACAATTGGGAATGAGTCCTGAAACTCTCAGCTCACTACGATCACCAGGCACCTGTTCTCCAGTGCCAGGTAGGAAGTAATCATTAAGCCTTACTCTCACGTTACTTCCTTCTGCTGATCTCGCAAATATCCTGTACCATGAAATCTGTCAAGAAAATGTAAAATTTGTGAAAGATGTTGATGATGTCACCTTGTCAAAACATACATAGAAAAAAATAATGCAGGTCCTTGTGTTGAGTTGGGAACTATAGAAATGAAAAAAATGGAAGAACCAAATGAAAAGTGCTGTCTTTAGCATTCAAAGGTTAATCTATTTCAAAAATGTAATTTGATGATGCCAAAATTGAAGAGATACGACATGTAATGCAAGTGGACAAAATGACACATTTCGACTGTACAGCCTGTGGAACTTGGTTTGTTGGTTGTTAGGTACATATATTTGTGCCTATCTATAGTTGTGTTGAAAGTTGATTGTTAGCTATTCCATGTAATCCATAATATTTACCGAAAGGTCCATTTAATATCTACCTTATGGGCTTCTGTTGAGATATGGGTAACAACGTATGACTTTGGAATGTTGTAAAAGTACTGAACACATTTGATATAACACTGACCTTTTGTCCATCTGCTGGTACAAACGGGGCAGGCTTGAAGACCATCATGGTATCTGTGCGACACAGGAGGATGGGTGGAGCTGGGATCTTAGTGGGCACCACATCCTCCTCATACATTTGTGTGTTTTCTGTGAAGATACGCCTCTCCTCTGTCTGGGCTTTCTGTATAGCCTTCAATGCATCCTAGAACAAATGGACAGATACTTTGATCTCAAATAGGATACTGTATGTGTATTTAAATCAACACAATCTTATTTCAAAGCACAAGGAGGGTTAGACTTATTAATGCTGTCTTAAATTTGTGAAAGAACAGTGAGAATAAATTTCAAATAAGTGGTAATATGTTTTTCTGATAAACCTTATAGTTTTCAGGTGTCGTTTCACAGTGATGGTCATATTATCACGGCGCCATGTTTATTATGAAACATGCTATACCGTACAGGTGGCCATTCTAACTGACCAATAGTGTACTGTATGCATTAAACATTGAATTCTTGTATGTGTTGTATCTTTATGCCAAATGACAAGACAGAGAAATTTTAGTATTGTACTTGTTTAAGCGAAATGACTTAATCATGAAGGCTGAAAAATAACTACACATACAGTAGTAGATATACCACACTTATACCACACAGGCAAACACAGGTTGCCAGTTTAAACCCTAATTTTTCATTCTAAGCTTTCAGTTAATAAAAAAAACCTCCTTTGCCAATTTAGAAGTTTATAAAAAGAAAATAATTTTGATGTCTGAAACACCTCCTTAGCTTGTGGTAAAACTACAACCCATGTTTGGTTTAGGAGTAAGACTTTTGACAAGAAGAACATCATTTAATATAAAGGCCTTGCTAAATAAACATATATGTGTTACCTCCATAAGTGATTTCTGTGTGTTTGTAGTAACATTGTCCCCACTCAACAGTAGTGCCCTCTGCATGAAGAGCAGTGCCTTAGATAGCTGGTTTTTGTTACAGTGGCTCAACAGCTCTTTGTATCCATCAACGTCCAACAGACCCATGTTCGGCTCACTCACCTACAAAACAGCAAAATCATATAAAGTCCAGCTCACTCATCTACAAAACTATAGTAATCATAAATTACAGCATTTGTGTAACTACAGAGCTTTCTAACACAATCAGCATACTTTCAATGTCTTTTTCAGATATATTGTATGAAGTTTGTGGATTCATGCTTTACTAGTACACTCACCAGTTTGGGATCAGCCTTGCGCTTGAAAGGACGCTGTATGCTGGTAGCAGGGTCTGGCCCCATGGCGGCCAGTTTAAGACAGACCCTGTGGTACATGAGGATCAGTTCCAAGTGAAGGTCCTTTATGGTGTTCCACACAGCTGTGGAGGAACCTTTAACACTCTCCGGGGGTGGGACCTTGTTAGGGCGGTCCTCTGTTACATTAGTATCTAATGTTGCCCTAGTTGTTTCCCTTTCTGTTATCTTCGTTGTTTCTTTTTCCGAATCAGCTGGGACAAATACTTCATCATTCAGGTCCTAAAACAATCACACATTCTACATTGAAGGTGGAATGGACACAAAGCAGCAGTGCTGTGGTCTACTAAGTATATAATACTCATGTTCATGAATATTATTTGAATTTCAACCTTAACAAAAATTAGCAATATGATTGTCTACACAAAAAGAATAGAAATAGTTTCTCATTGTTAATCCTACTACCTTCAGTTCAAAGCTAAATATTTGAAGAGTGAAACCTCTTCAGTACATCAGTTGAAAAGATGGGCTCAGGTAAAACATAGTCAAATCTAATCTTCTTAGAAATATCTATATATGTACTATTTGAACATATATTATCAAAACTCAACACATTCTTTTAAAAGGAACACAATTTTTGTGAAGTTTAAAAGCACAAGCTGGACTGTTGTCTGTGTGCAGCACTTCAGTACACTATAATCTTTCATGCTTTATTTCAAATTGTAACAAAGTTACGTCACATTGATTTTCTGTGTGTATATATTGTTGTCATAAAACAATTAACACAAACTGCCTGTACATTTAGAAATTAACTCTTTGTTTTGTAGGCTACATTACACAGAAACAAGATATTATTATCATTGATATAATATTTACCAATAAAAATGTTTACTCTTTTATGCAGAAACCCTATTTCCCACATAATTTTGTAGATAAATCAAAACAATACCTAGTTAAATCCTAAATTTGACCTTGGTATATATTTGATCTGACTATTTTCTATAGTATAGGATACGTACACCTAACACCATTGTTGTTAGTTTGTGATACAATATTGTTCAGTTATATTTAACAGAAAAAATTCTCCCTATTTTGAAAAACCGTCACTTTTCTATTGATTTAAAAACCTCACATTCTGACCCAGGTGATGATAAAGTTAGTGACACACTCTAGCCGTTGAGGAAAACAATAACAAAATTCATTATATGTAACACTCTTTGTGACACTACCTTGGTGACAAAAAACAATTCACCAGTGTTAAAGTGACAAACTGGGACAAAACACAAAGTACTAATTGTTATCATGACACACTGGGAATAAGTCACAATGTATTGATATCTATCGTGACAAAGTGGGGACAAAACTTGATGTACCTGTAATGCAGTAACAAACCAGGGACCAAATTAAACATTGCATCTTTGTTATTATGACAAATGGGTGACAAAAACCAGTGTAACAATGTTATTATGACAAAATGAGGACAAAAACCAGTGTACAAATGTTATTGTGACAAATTGGGAACAAAACTTGACCTAACTATATTAAAATAATAAACCAAGGACCAAATTTAATATTGCATCATCATTACTGTAACACATAGAGGACGATGTACTACTGTCACCAAAACAACTTCCTAAGGATAAGTCACATACATTATACCATCGTTACTGTGACAAACAGGGAGAAAACCAGGGACAAACCAGGACACAGTGTGACAAGGCCAGTCACTCACCAGACTACTGCTGTGTAGGTCACTATAGCTCTGATGGACCTCCGACTCCTCTCCCTCCTGGGGAGAGGGTTGGAACTCTTCATCTAGCTGTTACAACACAAAAAACATTGTTCGGGGGCTTAACACTCACCTTCTCAGGCTACATGTGTAACACCATATACATGATGAAACCAGGGGAAATTGGTCTGATTTCCATATACAGTAGTCACCACAAAAAAATGTGACTAGGCAAGGTTAGGAAACACAGAAAAAACAATTTTATCATGAAACAAAAGGTTTTCATGACATTATCACTCTCAAAAAAGCAAACCAAAAGAAAACCTTTTACATATTAAAACAAAAATATTCTTATTTAGATTTCAAACGAAATAAAATGAATATATCTTATTTTCCTTTAATCCAGTGAAAGTTTTCAAGAACACAAAAAAAAAGCATGATGACAGTCCAAGATTCAATGCCATACCTTGGCCCAGCTGACATCAGCAATAGACTTCCCATCATTCAGTGCAACAGCCTGTCTGGCATAAGACACATTCTCCAGGCCCATTTCTAAGATCTCACGAGCCTGCATCAGCTGCATACGGGGATTGATATTCAGCATTGATGACGACAGCATGGAAGTGCGACTAACAAACTGCTGGCTACCATCTCCTAGATTACCAAAGTCAGATAGGGATGTCTTTGACTCCTTCAAGGTGGAAATGATGTCTGTAAATAGGTCAGACAATATCAAAATCAGTACACACTTACAGTGTCATGTGACCTATCAGTAACATGGGTATAAATGTTGGATATCAAAATCATTACAAACTTGTAGTGTCATGTTACCTATCAGTAACATGGATATAAAAGTTGGATATCAAGATATGTACAAACTTGTAGTGTCATGTGACCTATCAGTAACATGGATATAAAAGTTGGATATCAAGATATGTACAAACTTGTAGTGTCATGTGACCTATCAGTAACATGGGTATAAATGTTAGACATCAAGATATGTACAAACTTGTAGTGTCATGTGACCTATCAGTAACAGACACAATTGGGACACATAGTAATATTTTTCAGTCAGTAATAAATTAAGCATGTAATCAATAACTATATTAATTGAATTATCACTAATGCATTTCCAGATTATAAACACCAACTTCTAAATGTATACATATTGACAGAACATAGTTAAACAATTAACAGTGTTAAGTTTAACATCTTAAACCAGGTAAACAAACACCTAGAACATGGTCTTCTTACACAATGTATTGATAACATTCAATATCACCTTTTAAAATAGATTTGTGTTTTGTAAATGTATTAAGTTGTTATAATTAAGGGTTTGATATTAAGAACTGATTATACGAAGAACTGTGATTGTTATTTGTATAAAAAAAATTAGGGACAAAATATTAAGTAACTGTTAATTTGTTATTTTAATAATTGTGTTAAAAATACCCAAGATAATTAGTCTTGAATCCCAAATGAAAAATGTATAAATTCACACTGCTAACCTGTCAGAAATGTAAAATAGGGATTAACACTGCTAACCCCTCAACAATATACAGAAGTTAGTACTGCTAACCTCTTATCAATGTACAGTAAAGGTTAACACAGCTAACCTCTTAACAATATACAGAAATTAGTTCTGCTAACCTCTTATCAATATACAGTAAAGGTTAACACTGCTAACCTCTCAACAATATACAGAAGTTAGTACTGCTAACCTCTTATCAATGTACAGTAAAGGTTAACACTGCTAACCTCTCAACAATATACAGAAGTTAGTACTGCTAACCTCTTATCAATGTACAGTAAAGGTTAACACTGCTAACCTCTCAACAATATACAGAAGTTAGTTCTGCTAACCTCTTATCAATGAACAGTAAAAGTTAACAATAGTAAAGGTTAACACTGCTAACCTCTCAACAATATACAGAAGTTAGTACTGCTAACCTCTTATCAATGTACAGTAAAGGTTAACACTGTTAACCTCTCACCAATTTAGTTTAGGTATGTCTGACTGTTAACCTCACAAATCAGACCAGAAGTTTTTTCCCCAACTATGTGAACAGAAGCACAAATTGTAATCTTTTCTCTTTAGAAATAACTTTCAAATTTTGTTTTATCATGAACAGCTCATGATATTGAATACAGGAAACAAATATTAACAAATATTAGAGCCCTGTTTACTTGATCAACTATATCTTTTTCCATAATATTTCAGTTTTCTCTTTTCCCTTCACAAGTACATGTATCATGCAAAATTCCTAGAAAACATCATGCACAGCTTTATGTTGTAAGTGATCCATTTTTTGTCCATGCTAAGCAAAATGGATTGTGTAATAATCAGTAGCACCAGCAGAAAGTAGCTCCAGCCATTACAGGTATTAGTAGGACTTTCAGCAGTAGAGGGTATACATACATGTACATGGATACACATCACAACAAATGGTAACCAATATTCCATACAAAGAGTAACAAATTAAATCTAATAACATTCGAGTGAAATTTCTGTGAAGAAAGAAGGAAGCATGCCAGAAAACGAGCAGTAAAAACATCAGTCAAAACAAGCCAGGGCCCCACACACAGATATTTCAGCTCCTAAGTACATGAACCACCAAGGGGTGGGGGTGGGGGGAGGGGGTAGGTGTAAGGGGTAAAGGGGTGGGAAAGTGGGGTACAAGCGTTCATGTAACCCTTCTTCAGCATTCTGAAAATGGTCTACTAACAAACTGTTTTATTTTTTTTATTATATGATTAAATGATCAAATGTTGTTTTAAATGTTGTTTTACACTTTTGATATCAATGGATTGAAAAGTACCAGGTAATTCAGATACAAGTTCCATAATCCATTAATACAATGATATCCTCTTTTATTTAAAATTATTTTCCTAAGTTTTCATTCCATTTATCACAGAGTCAATTGAAACACAATAAGATATTGATAGAGTATATGTTACTATTGGAGTAAATGACTACCTATTAATGGAAACTCAACAGTGAGCAAAGTTTTACAAGGAAATGGTCAATTACTGACCAGTTTGTTAAAGGATAGCTGATGGGTCAGTGTGTGAGGCATGACTGTGAAACTGTGTGAAGTGACAACCAAACACCATGTCTGTTGCATGTCAACATTTGCTGCATATGCATCACCTACCCTTCATCGGCAGAGAGATTTTCACCCCTCCTGCCTTTGCCTCCTCCATTACCTTCACAACCTTTGACCTTATGGCTTCCTCTTTACCTTTTTATTGAGAATTAAAATCAAAACATGAAGTGCTTGATGAAAATCTTACCCTGTTCCATCACGGAATATATCAGTACTCTGTCTACTGATGTTAAACAGGACATATTATGATAGTTAACAAACAAACAGCCTGGTATTATTGTAAAATTAAAGTTAAAAGCCAATTAAGTATTTAAGATAAGCACATGAAAACTCATTAAAACATAACAAAAAAGCAGCAAACTTGAATCAGTGAAAACATTTAAAACTGAAGTTAAGTGATTGGACTGTCTGTATATCTACAATATTTAACTATGAGTTTAAAAAATAGGAAATCAAAGTTGAAACAATATATTCCTAATATTGAATAATGAAATCTGACTAGAAATATGACAACACTAATACTGATTTATGAAATCTGACCAGAAATATAATAACCCTAATACTGAATTATGTAATCTGATTAGAATATGACAACCCTATTACTGAATTATGAAATCTGACTAGAGATATGACAACCCTAATACTGAATTATGAAATCAGACTAGAAATATGACAACCCTTATACTGAATTATAAAATCTAACTAGAAATATGACACCAGAAACTGGATATTAAAATCCGACTAAAACTATGACACCACTACGACAGGCTAAAGAAATTAATTAAAATTGTGACAACCCTAATATAGTCAAATGAAATTTGACTAAAAGTGTTTTTCCCCTGTCTGAAGACTGAAGAAATATGACTAAAACGTGACATCTCTAATACAAACAAATAAAATTTGACTAGAAATTTGAGGCTTTTTCAAGAGATACTAAGGAAATTTTACTTAAAATGTAACACCACTAATACAGACTAAAGAAATTTGACTTAAAATGTGATGCCTCTTCAAAGAATACCGATGAAATGACTTGAAATGTAATATCTAATGCTACTCACACCATATTAAACTAGAAGTGAGACATACCAGATACATGTAACATAATCATGATATCTAACTGAAATCTGACGTCTGTTGACCAGACTAATGATATCCAGCTAAAATGGGATATTCCTTATATAGGCCTTACACATTCCAATATGTTTATACACTAGTAAGGTGACACCTATGCTACATAATAACAACAGTTAACTATAAATGGAATACCAATGTATTGATATTAATTCATATTAAATACTTGAACACACATTTAACAGAACTCTTCGAACAAAAAAAATTAAAACTTTTCACTTCACAACAACGTAATAATACTAGTAATTACACAACAAATTAAGACCACACACAGCAAATCATATAAAAACAAAGGCTAAACATACATACTCTTTTTACATATTGCTCACAGCACTGTAACACTATCAATCTATATCAATACAGCTTGTCATCACTGAACCTACAGTCCCACAGGACTTACCATCATCCATGTTGGCACTGCTCTCCAGGACGAGGGCCAGACGCAACACCACTTCAGCTGTGAGGGCTGGGTCGACACTGCTGAGTCCACACCAGCCTAACACTTGGTGTACCACATCGAGAATGTAAACCCACTACAATATATACCACACTTTATGCTTGGATCAATTCTTTTTCATTTGTTTTTCCTTTAAAAATTAAATAAAAAGATAATTTAATAGCTTCCTGTTAAGTATCGTTAATGTTTCACTGATCTACAAGGGTTTTTTTTTTTTGCATGTGTTTCAAACTCATGAAATATTAAAAACTTTTCATACTAGTTAAATACATATGATATCAAATGGGAAATCATTAAATATCCTCTTTAAATCTGTCAAAAACTTTTCAGGGTAAACATTACATGTTATTATACCCAAAGACTTTAAATAAAATTCATCTATCTTAAGTATCCAGCCTAATTCATGCTCTTGGATAAATGTCTAGATATGTATGTAAACTGATAGAAGATACAAATGAACATCTGAATAAGCTACAGCTATAAATAACATTTGACCTTGCCAAGACTATGAATAACCTCTGACCTAGCTAGTGCAACATGTTTAAACAACCTGTGACCTTGCTAGGGCTATAAATAACCTCTGACCTAGCTAGGGCTATAAATAACCTCTGACCTAGCTAGGGCTATAAATAACCTCTGACCTTGCTAGGGCTATCCATTCTCTGCAGATACTTGGGGTTGTCCAGTGATCCAGTTTGATGTTTTTGAAAAACAGCCTTCGTTTTGTTCCATAAGAATAGGGCTGTGTCCACAATCATGTCCACTTCGATGTCTTTGGGCTGTAACACAAAATAATCAGTATCTAAATTCAACCAGAAAACAACTTTTTTAACTTTTGAAAAATAATCAATAAGAAATTAAAAGTGAAGTGAGGACATAGTCATCAATATCCCCGGCGAACAGAGAATAAATATTGAAAACCCCTTACCTTGAATGGGCCAGTAACAATACTCATAAGTACTTCAGCAACGTGGATGAGTTCATCTCCCAGGTTTAGGGACCTCACTGATGTGGCTACAAGAGAGAAATATGACATTGTTGGTCAAGACTCATCCAATTCATTTCCTATTTTGATCAAATGCTTGCTATGGCACCCACATATTTTGCAAGTCCTTTGGACACATTGAAGGTGCCTACATTACTTAATGTAATTAATAAATGAATACTTCAAATATCGCAATACAACACACCCCTCTGACAACCATACCCCTACCTTAATACATGTTTTACTAATGATATATTGAATCTCTATTACGATTATTCAAGCTGTATCCTGACCAGTGAGGTTGCCTCTCAAATCTGTCTAGTAGTCCTCAACATCAGATTTCCTCCTGGTCTTTGAGGCTGTTCCCTATCCCATCCTAAAATCTCCAGCCTATCAAATGCCATAAGTACCTATGCCCTCTGGTCATTGTAGTCCCAAGAATTACTTACGCCCTCCAGCCTGTGATGTTCCTCCTATATCCTGGTTGATGCTATCCTTTTCCTTATCCTCCTCACCAATGGAGGTCATAGTCCTTTTGTGACGGCGGTTTGGGTTCACTTTCTCCATGGCTAAAAGTAATTCTAGGGCCTTTTCATCCCATGCATATTCACTTGTGTGATTTTTGATGATCTATGTAAAAAAATTTACAATATGATTGATAATTGTTGTGTTTTGCTGCCCCTCCTATCATTGATAATTGTTTTGTTTTGCTGCCCCTCCTATCACTGATAACTGTTTTGTTTTGCTGCCCCTCCTATCATTGATAATTGTTGTGTTTTGCTGCCCCTCCTATCATTGATAATTGTTTTGTTCTGCTGCCCCTCCTATCATTGATAATTGTTTTGTTCTGCTGCCCCTCCTATCATTGATAACTTTTTTGTTTTGCTGCCCCTCCTATCATTGATAACTGTTGTGTTTTCCTGCCCCTCCTATCATTGATAATTGTTTGTTTTCCTGCCCCTCCTATCATTGATAATTGGTTCGTTTTGCAGCCCCTCCTTAATTATAATTGTTTTTCCATCTCTGCTATCAATGGTCATGTTTTGTAGCTCCTCGTATCATTGATAATTGCTTTATTAACCAAGATTTGCATAGTGGGTGCAGTCGAAGAAGCAGAAGACGCTTACTCTTCCAGAACACCTGGTCTTATTCTCTGTGCAAAACTTCCTTTCACTCATATTTTGCCCTAGTTTTATGGAATTTGAGTTTGAATTATGATTATGTTGCCATGTTGGTATTTTTTTTATATGTTTTGTTAAGATGTCCCTAATAGCTCTGATAATTACATTGTTGTAATGTTCCTCCTATTTCTGATATTTTGATGTTCTTCTTAACATTAATACTTACCCTGATGTACATGAGGACACCCTCTATCAACATATCAAACACCTCCCACTGTTCAAAGCAGTACGCCATCTTCACCAGCTTAATGGCACCTTCAAGAGTGGCTCCATCCTCACCTGAATACATAAATATTATCTTATTAATTACTCAGTAATTCCTGCCAAGTCAAAAGAGGGAAACACATAATATCCTTAAAAATCATATATCATACTTTAAACCACGAAAAAAAATTAAGTCCTTACATCATACCGTATACTAGGGAGATTCTGATCTCTGACAGGAAGACATGTATATCGAGGGAAATATCCTTGAGCACAAAATACATACCGCTATGTATATTTTTAATTTTATGAATTCTCATGATACTTTAGGGATTTTAATATAAGGTTTCCCCTTATAATTGTAATGGGAAATGTAAAGTTGTTATCTGTCAAAGACAATACAAGTAGAAATTCATCAGCAATGCTCACCATGGGTTGCCATTCCAAGCAGACTTTTGCCCCTAACAACCCCACTCAGGGCATTCACAGGAATGTTGCTAGTTGGTTTGACCCCCGATCCTCTCCGGCCACCTCCACCTGGTTGTAAAAATCAAAACTCAGAAAAAGATGTTCAGCATAACATCCAGTAAGAAGCAGAAATTCTAAATCCAAATAAATAATTTATAGAAAGTCTTTCATCTGGAATAGGCATATTAAATTTGGTTATGTATCTCATTCTATTTTTATTATCGTTACCAGTATTCTAACAACTTAATTAAAGACAACTGGACTAAATTCTGAATCAATTAAACTTGATAAAAGACATACCAGAAAGAATTTCCTGACCAGCGAGAAACAATTCAGCATACACATCCAGGATCTCTACTTCACTGTCTGCAGCTGGGGGTGATGTTAGGATAGTACGACGGTTTGTGTCATTTAAACTCTCTAGGATACATAAAAACTGGGCAGCACTTCCCTCAAACATGTCTGACAACAACTTTTCACTTGGGGTGCGTGGCCATGGTAACTGTAATCAGAGGAAAATAATTCATAGTATAGGAAACTAAATGTATGGGAGATAACTCTGATCAATTATACTTAATTAGCTCAGAGATTGAAATAAAACAGCCAAAATCCCTGTGTTTCTTACATTTTGAGCATCTTTGAGGTTGGCACGAGTCTTTGGACGAAGCAGACCTTTCGGTTTCCGCCTTGTCTCAAAAGCTGAGCGACGAAACACCATAACAGCCATCTGAAAAAATTATATATTTCAATTGTTTATTTTCCATTAATGATTAATTTTCACAGTTTCCTAAATCCCTATTGACTTTTGAACTGTCACAGGAGTTATTCAACCATGTTCATTCAATCATTAAAAAAGAAAAAAAAATAATCAACAACAATGTTCTATATTGGCTTTACAGAATAAACGAGGGAGTCACCATGTGCATGTGTGATTATTTCCTTCCTTATCTCCTGCCTCCATCTTATTTGAGTTAAACTAGTTCTCATCTTGTAGATTCTAACAGTACCAGTCTATGTTGTAAAGTATCTAAAGACAGGAAGTTACGTTAACATTTTAAACAAAACGCAAAAAAATAAATTCTTGAAAAAACATGCATTTTAGATGTTATATACCAAATCATCATATGTACAAAACTATTGTCACTTTTAACACAAATTCTGACACTATTTCATAGAGTTTTTAAGTTGATTATCAAATATTTTCATGCTTTTTATCAGATTGAAATTAACTTGCCCAACAAATTAAGACACAAAACGATATAAAACATTTTATCTGATATCGTACACACCTTCACTGTAGCCTGACGGAATGCCTCCTCTGACTCGTAAGTCTCCGTGGAACTACTTAGGCTCTCCAACCGACTCAATTCATTGATCTTGGCCAAGCCTCTTCTTGCAAATGCCTAAACAAAAGACCACACATATTGATACACGAAAGGCTTTTGTTCATTCCTTTGTATCAGTGCTCTCCATAGTATAAATGTCAATCAAAATTTCAACAAAATAAATTTCTGAACTCCTTCAAACTTTTGTAAGGACTAATAATATCAAACCAACAAGTTTTCTAATATATTCAACTTACTACAGACCTATAGCACAATACTTTTGCAGGACTTTCCTTTTTTAATTATGCTAACTTATAGACCATATACATTACAATTTTATCCTGGGCAATGATAATACACACTTAAATAGTATATCTACAATAAAAACTGTAATATAAGTTTTCACACTTATATCATCAACAGCATGTGTTTTGTATGTTATCATTATTATCTTGTCTTGTCTGGGAGTAAACATTCAGAGGCAATATCACAAAGTTTGACACTCTCAGATCTATTGGTTGCAAAGAATTATCATGTGTACATTTCTTCACTTTGAATGGAGACTGAATAAAACATATAAGCCTGCAAAAACTGACAACAAAAACAATGACACAACAAATATAACACTGAAAATATTAAACAGATAAGAAAAATTAACATACAACTGGTGAACAGTGGGTAAAATTTGTCAGTCATGAGTATGTATATACCACACAGAAATTTGACATGTGTAAAATCCTGTAAATATTTACAGTAAAAATAGTGAGGAATTCTCAGAACATACTCTTATCCTTAAAATAATCACAGGCTTTTGATAACAAATAAGATATATCTCCAAAGAAAAGCAATTTTTTATTGACAAGATTTTTTTTTCTTGTTAATTCATGATTTTACCCACTGAATAGAGCCAAATACACTCAACAGTATCTCACTTTAATATTAAACTTGGACTTCTGGAATAGATTAATGTTGGGTTAATTGTATTTTAACAAATACAACACTCATAGTAACAACTCCTTAAAAATTAAATTAAATTATATCCTAGTTAACACAAACTTTATTACAATAGTGTATTCAAATTATTGCTATTATTTTCACTTTTTTTTATTAGAAATAACTTTTACAATTGAATATTGCATGTTTTAGGATACAAAATCTTATCCACTGGCAAGAATTCAATTTTTACAATTCATATTTTTCTATGATTTGTCTTTTAGTAACCAATAACTTTCACAATCAAAGAGTTTGTGTTCTTTTAAGTACATACTTTGTATGGTTTTTGTCCTAATATTCTAAAAAAATTTAAACCATTGCTTCATACATATTACAGTGCACTGACGTTGCCATATCGTGTTTTTTGAAAATAACAAAGAAATATTAAGTAACAAAGGTGTAAATGTACTTACCTCAGCATGATGGGAGACTTTACAGTCAAAGTAACACTGACACACTGCTGTGTATAATGTTGCTCTCCATGGCAGATACTTCACAGCCAGGAGGGGCACTGATGTCTCCATACAGACACTTGCCCAGAGTAGATACTCTATCACCTACAACACAAATATATGCAGAATGTTTCCATACAATTTGATAGAAATGGTCCAATCAAAGTGGAGATGATTTAAAATCATCACAACATAATGTGATATTCAGACAACAGTACAAAGGAACAACATATGATGATTTTGTCAATAGGTATAACTTCAGTTTGATCACAATTTTTTAAAAGATCATACAGATATCAATCAGTTTGTCTACCAATCAAATCCCAGTATTTCATGCATTGTAAATAAATATGTGTAAATTCTGTTTAATATCATTTAATCTCCAAGTCTTCCTCATTCATAGATAGAGTATTAACAAATCTCCTATTGAAAAATATTATCATTTGAGGACCAACAAACAAGTTGAAATCGCTATAACAACAGAGTTTATATCATAACCAATCAGAATTTACCGTGCTTAAAACAGAGTTTATATCATAACCAATCAGAATTCACTGCATTAAATACAGAGTTCATATCATAACCAATCAGAATTCACTGTGCTTAATACAGAGTTTATATCATAACCAATCAGAATTCACTGTGCTTAATACAGAGTTTATATCATAACCAATCAGAATTTACCGTGCTTAATACAGAGTTTATATCATATCCAATCAGAATTCACTGTGCTTAATACAGCGTTTATATCATAACCAACCAGTTCAGTGTGCTAAATGCAAAGTTTATATCATAACAGTTTTACATTAATACTTCCTATTTCAACAGCAGTAACTATAGACCAAATTAAAGTATGATACAACTTACTCTAGCAGAGTTACCCAATGACATCAGGTGTCGTGAGATACTGTATATGTGTATTGTTCCTGAAACAAAAAATACTATATCTACACCTCAACATACAAATCTTTTATACAAAACTTCAAAAATAAAAAGTTTCCTAAAAATATACAAACATTCACTGAAATCAAAACTAAGGGCTTTTCTTGGAATTAAGTATGACTTATATGGTAAATCCACAGATAACACACAAACGACACTCAATCATATGTCAACTGTATTGAAAACAAATTCACTTTAATTGTGTCTCCTTGCCATTGATACCAGAAATGTCTATCTTAAGCTAGTAACTAGATTTTGTTTATGAGGTAACAACTACATACCATTATAGACTAGCCAGCAGAGTTTCTCCTGAGGTAGCACTACCTGCATGACAAGTCTGAGGAACGACAGGATCTGGACACACCTGTCCACTGACTGTTTGTTCTGTAGCTTTGGATCACCAACACGTACCACCTGGTACATACTGATGCTTTTCCCCATTAATGCCCGGAACTGAAAAAAAATTTCAATTATGAATATAATGTCTTTATTCCTATTTATCAGTTGATGATGCATGCTTCAAAGAATAATGCCAATCTATTTACAGTTGCCATGTGAATAATATGATATATTCATCCTCCAAATTTCTCAATTAATTTCAACTTACTGTTAGTCCTGCGTCTTCACTGTCAAATCCCTCTGGGAAAAATGTAGTCTTAAATGTGTCAACATCAGTAATCTCCCCTTCATCAACCTGACCAAAATGAAGTAGGTAGCGCTCATAGCATTGCCAAAGAGCTAGGCTGTACTCCTGCAATAGAAAGTGTTAAGGTTAGAAACAATGCAATACATAGGTTGTTCAGCTGCATTTACTTACAAGTAAATATGATAGAGGTAGTTGTCGTAAGATCAAATCTTTTGAAACCCATAGACATAAATGTTGTACAAAGTACATGTCTAAAATTCCAAAATATGGTTCTAAGTATCTAGCATATTGATATAGAAAAAAGTAGTATGCCCCTCTCAGGAATTGAACCTGCAACCCCTGGCTTAAGGGTCTGCTGCTCTGCTTATCGAGTTGAAAGTAAATTTCCTTTAGCATGAAGCTAGAGATGACCATATCTATATACATTGTACAATTAAAACCTGCAACACTTTTCCCTTTTTAATGTGTTTATTTCTGAACACTACATCTACCCAGCTGGGTTTTCTGGCTCCAACAAAGCAAGTCTCATTCTCATCTTAGTTTGGAGTGTATTTATAACCACCAAATATAACAGAAAATGTGCTTTCGCTGGTGATGCAACCTACAAATCCTGGCTTATGCGTCTACCACTCTACTGATCATGCTAAAGGAAATTCTCTCTAGGTTCAAGCTAGGCGACAGCATCTATTAACATTTGAAATCTATTACAAAGTTTTTTTAGACCTTTTTTTTTCTCTGTCTCTCTCTTTTTTTTTTTTTTTTTTTTTACATAGCATACCTGAACTGTCATTAAAAAATCACCCAGTTCTAAGAGTTTTTCTTGGTAGTACATCTTTGGCAGCTTTGGTTCATACTTATTCCAAAGGTCAAACAATGTGTCTGCACTGTAAGTACAATCAAATATGACATATAAGGAAAAAAATATCAACAATAATACAAAAATGTTCATCAACAATTGAAATCAATTTGAAAATATATCGTGAAACTTGAGATCATGGAATATTTCATAATTAACTCACAGGTATTGACTATTTAAGAATTAGGGTTCAGCAGCCAGTAAGCATAATTTTAGAGGCACCAAAGTGCCCTTGGACCCTAAAACTGCAACTGACATGTCCATTTCCTTTTAGTTTTAGATATGATTGCCCACCTGACAAAAATGGCTGAAAATGGTCCAATATTCTCGGAAGTGAACCAGCTCCAAATATTTCCCATGTTAAGTGTTAAGAAACTGAGCCGTAGAAGCATGCTTCCATCAGCATAGTGACAGATGCTGTATATAACACTATGAATTACCTTATGCCATACCAACTCGCTCCTTTTATACATATGATTACAAATGTATTAATCATAATTATAAAATAAAACGTACATCGTGAGGGAAAAAAATAACGTAATGTTCCACAATATGGCATGGTTGTTCAGATCAATCTATTTGACAAGTCATTTAGTACTTAACTTGACACAATTAGTACAACTGAACTGGTCACGAATTATCATAGTTTTGAAAGTGTATCTTATTTGGTTGTGAGGTACTTTCAAATTATTTTTTTAATACCCATTATGTGTGTACGCTCTGTACATGAGTGTATCTTTATCCACACAATATTGCTTACGGTCTAGAGCAAGGTTCATCGTCGGGTTTCTGGTAGCCGGGTACATTCCGTTTCTTCATGTAACCCATAAACTTTTTCGTCTCCTGCTCCAGCGACTGAAACACCGGATTCGTTTTATCTTTACTATAGAATGAGCTTGGTTGACCTCGATTTGCTGAGGCAACAGCGGCGCTTCTAAGAACCGCTGCCATCCTCAATCATTAAATATTACCAACACAAATTTAGAATTTTCTGTTATGAACAAAACAGGCTCGGTTTCACGGACGCCATATTGGACACCTTGCGTAGTCAGGGGTAACAAACCAGGAACAATAACTCTTGATTTAGGTCACACTATAGTAAAAATGACTATACAGGATTGTGAACTTGTCCGACTGATATCAACGATGGAAACAAATCAGCTTTAATATAAAAGATCTATACAACTTGAAAATCCTATCTTAATTGATATATTAATTCAGTTCAGTTTCAGTTTCATTGTTAAATTAAGACTGAGTGGAACTGATACATGTAACAACATATTTCGGTGTTTCAGCCTATATATATATATATCGGAGACATATATAACACGTCTCTGTATATATATATATATTTATCATGCAACTGGCGCTGCCGTTGTCAGAATACGCTTGGCACACATATTTTTGCTGTATTCTAGCACGTGTAAATTCGGCGGAATTAAGCTCTGAATTTACTTTAAATTAACGTTTAAAAATATAAAAAGCTGTCGAAATAAGCGATTTTATACGTTGTAATGAACAAGTTGATTTATGAATATTCATAAAATCGCTGTTGTATCCGAGGAAGTTTGGAACTATGTTTATTATTTTGGCCTACGACATCATGCAAAATTCAGCGTAACGTCAACGTCAGGTAAACAAAGGTTAAACAAAAAACTGATTAAGTTTTGATGGTCTGATTTGAAGTGATTGTTGCATGATAAATGGAATACATGGTCAGTGTCTTAAAATACATGCTGCATTTTGGCACAGGACAGAAAGACAAAAGAGGCAGGGCTCGCCACTTTATTTTTCACCCTCTCCAAATTACAGCTTATGTTTTAAGACACCGATCGTTTCATCTTTATTTATAATGCAACTGGTGCATCAATTGTCGAAATGCACTCGCCACATATATTTTTGCTGTATTCGGCAGTGACGGAGAACAGCTGTATATTAGCACGTGCGGTAATTCGACAGAATTACTCTTTGAATTTACTTAAATATTACGTATAGAAATATAATTTGTCATCAGGCAAAATTCAGCGTAAACGTCAACATCAAGTAATTCAAAATACACAGTGAAAAGCTCGAAGGTGCTGATTTTGATCATGCCATTTACGAAGAGAGAGAGATAGAGAGAGAGAGAGAGAGAGAGAGAGAGAGAGAGTAAAGTGGAACAGGAACGGGAAGGGGGTACGATTAGAATATCGTTTATTGAAAAACAGATACTCGATATCCAAACACGATCTATAAAGGACAACCTGTAAATTGGAGGAATCCCAGATGGTTACCGCGACGAAGATACCGGCAGAGGCCGTGGTCAAGGGATTCCTCAAGACGGAGCTCAGTATTGAAGATGACATTCAACTCCATGTTGTTCACAGGCTACGGAAGAGGACCAAGGTCCATAGTAGCAAAATTCTCTCGCGGGAAAGACAGAGAAAGAGTTTTGAAGGCTGCTCCCAAATTAGTGGGGGGGAAATTTCTGTATTGGAGCAATTCCAACGATTTGTTTAGAATTTCGGGTGAAAACATTATGGATGTAGCTGCATCAGATTACATATCAGATGGGTAGAAATTAGAGCGGTCCTGAGGTAGGATACTTAGCGGATCGGTTGTTTTCAGTATTCAGCCCATCAGTAGGGGAGAGTTGACTTGTCATCGTTTTTCGTTTGTAAAATGCGATAGCTTCTTCGGAAGTTATGGCAGGAATTGAGGTAGAAATTTTCGGGCACGCACCTGAGTCCATTTTACCGGTTTGGCAGGCTTTATATAGAATCCAGGTACACGTAAAACACGCACACTGGTCACAGTAAAACAACAATTTAAGCCACAAAAACACAGTGGTAGTCCAGTCGATATAGTCACTTATACATATTGGTATAAATACTTTTTAAAAAAGTCCTAAAAATAGGTAATTTAAAAAATATTCACCACACGAGAAACCGCTCACCTTCGCTTGACCGCTACGTGATCGATGATCTACGTCTGTTTTGTCCCATAGATAAGCTAACCCAATTTTTCGAGTTCTATTCTTATCTTAATTACCCATTCATCATTCGATTCAATCTTGTGGTTCAATCATGCTTTTAAGACACAGTTTGTAGTACATTTCAATAATCTTCGGACTTACATCGGTTAAATTTCACCAATGTATGTTTGTAGTCCTCATAATTTGTCCTAATCACAAGTAAACCATGGTTTAGCTTGGGACTTTCTATAATTACTCTGTAATTCAATGGATCAACTTTATAGTACACATTACGTACATCACAAAAAGCCGTCTATAATATCATTGGTATAATTTTGTGTACATTCTATTACTTATAAGCATAAGATTTCCTAATAACACCAGCATTTTCACTGTTCCATTAAACGTTCTTGCTGGTACTCTAGTTGTTGTACTCGTTTTAAAGTGATAAAAATCTTGTTTGTAATTCGATCGTATTTTGTAAGACAGTGGAGCATGATCTGAAATAGTTTCCAGAAGTGAATACATAAATGTCAGCAAAGTTATCTATAAATGTCAGCAAACAATCTCTATTACTTTTGCCATTTTTACTGTAAAAACTAAAACTCCCTTCCTTCTCTCCAGTGTGGCGACCTTTAACAATTTGTATACCAGACGTTTTATACAGTGCTAATAGTCTCCTACCAAAAGAATGTACAAATTCATCCATATTCTCTCGCTCGATTCTATCCTTGTTTTTATAGTAGTTAAAAGTTTCCATTAAATTAAGTTTATCACTTTTAAGGTGGTCATTTTCTGTAAAGCCATGTCTGGTACCTGTTCTCGAATTGAGATCCACCCATTAAATACACATGACTTGCTCTTTATATCTAAACAGACTTTCCTCTAAACTCTAAATCAATATTATTTTCCGTATAAAATACACTGTTCTCCGGAGGGAACTAACACCAAAAACAAATGAATTATACAATTTTGTTCGGCAATAACTGTATCACTGATATTGCACACAATCATCATGTTCTTGTACAAGCAATAACAATTTCTCCCCCTACCCGACTTCTTCGGATATAAAAAAAAATGAGTATACCCTAGACACTCCAATGTATCCTCCTCTGTAGGCTACCATTCACTAAAACATATTACATCATGGTTTTGTATAATTTTGACATATTCTAACTAACTGAGTTTACCACACATTCCATTGCCGACATTCCATGTAGCTACGGAGATAACATCAATACAGTCACTATCCGCGGTTTCCTATCTTCGATGGTTTCCACTTACCAAAGAGCTGGTGTTTTCGGGACCATACTTTTGTGGTTGAGGGATTCTGTTCTTGTATTCCGAACGATAAACCAGATCTGTTTGTCCATTCCCAATGCTGCTACTTATGATAACGCCAGAATTGTTTATATATGGATAATTGTCGCACTTGACACTTGTTCAGCCATAACATCTCCGAATGTTTTAATTTCTTTGTGAGCTTTGGAAATACTTTTTGCGTTTTGCTTGTTTTTTGTTCACTTTTTAATGAAATTCTCCTACTGCCCCTGCACTTTTTTAATGTTTAGGTTCTTTATGGTTACTCTAGAAGGGACGCTTTTTATCAAGGGTTATTTGATTAAATCAGATTGGAAAACAAAATTTTTGGAGAATTGATAACCTAATATTTTATTTACACTTTTTATAGTGTTGTTGGATCTGCTGTGATTATCTATGCTTAACTATAACTAAATAAACCTATCTATATATGGCTGTTGATGTGTATCTGTATATAGTTGTTTCTACATAGTTAAAGACTAACCTGTGTCTTAAAGTAAGTGTATAGATCTATCGTAATCAGGTTAATTAATCTAACTGAATCTTAACTTGTATACCGATCTATCTTGATGCTAAGGGCTTAAATTTCAAAACCCAGGATGCGACTGAGAAAAATCCAAAGCGATTAAAAGAAATGTCAAAATCTAGACGGGGAGGTTAACTAACCCCATTATTCAATACGTTTGTTCTTAAAAGATGTTTGATTCAGGAGATAAGCAAGAATAAACATCTGTTTTATGATTCAATTGGAAAAAACAATAAAACCATATATAGATATGTAAGATAAAAATATTTATTTCTAATTCGAAAACGTGATAAAGACAAAACACTGTAAAACATATATCACTACATCATCTTGTACAGGTATATATACGTTGTAATGTATTGGATCAATAATGATAATCCGGTCCGCAATCCGGATCCTTCTCTGATATTTCTGTATATTACGTCACTGGTTTTTGTTACTCATTAAAAAAACGTTGTTGAACCTGCGGGGCAAACATCCGTGCTTTCCTGCTAACCACTGATCGTTACACTTCATACTAGTCCAGTCAATATACGGTTTCACCTCCAACTAATTGCAACAGAAACTATTCTTGTTGAATATTAATCAAAATATGTCTAAATAAAACATAGTAAAAGTCTAGAAAAATCTAATTAAGGGAAAGTAGAAAAAACGTGATCAAAAACCTCTTAAAATGCACTGATTACGTACGATCCATATGAGTCGCCGTACATGCAAAGGGAGATAATTTCTGTTGGCAAACACGGTTTGTTTACATTTTGTCGGCTATCGATTTATTGAAGAAACATACGAAAAGCTGTTATCAGTATGGTAAGTTGTGATAAATCTGAGACCACCTTACTTACTTCAAATGGTATTTACTTGTAAAATCAAATTAAAAAAGATTTTTAATGTTGTGTACATATTTTAGCCTGGAACGGATGTGTTGTCTGCTCCGATAGCCGAACCTGGGCCAAGTACCGTACGTTAATTTTGAGTATCTTATTCAATTTTTCGAATCAAAGTGATGGCATTGTCTAATAAGTAAATACATCAACATTGGGTCTAATTTAAATTGTATTTCAAATACACTTTTTTCTAAATCACTGTCAAATATACTATACCAGTTTGTACGCGGTAAAAAACTATGGAAACCTATAGTCGCCGTAAATA